ACAACTCAGGCGGTCGCTACGACCACCACTGCAAATGATAGTAGCCAGGGAGATAGCGGACTATCAGGTGGCACCAAAATTGGTGTGGGGGTGGGTGTTGGACTCGGGGGTGCTTTTGTCGCGGCTCTAGCGCTATTTTACTTTGTCCGCCGCAGGTCGAAGAGTTCAACGCAGGTCAATGAGAGCAGTCCTGTCACATCTCAAACGCAGCCCGTGATGGAATCAAAGTCCTACAACGGACAGGCTCAGAATGAAGCGCCGAAGATCTTCGAGGCTCCAGCAAACGAAGCCAGACGGTTTATCGAACTACCGTGACGAGCACTTGTCTACGCTATTGTACAATAAGAGTTGATACATCATTCAGCTTGATTGAGTCATAGAAAACTTGCATCGAACTCGGATAGGCATAAGCCCCAAAATTCCCCCTAGCTGACCACAAGCTTGAATACATTTTGTAGAGGAAGCCAACTGTAAGGCTTTCCATGTTTAAAAGATCTTGGATTTAAGTTCAAGTAATTGATTTCACTATTCATGAGTGCGTTGCAACTCGTAGGCAAAGGGCTAAATATGAGCAGCGATACTTCGGCGCCCGAGATTACCCTTGCCTCTTACGTTAGCTAGCGAAGGGAAAGCACCATAATTCCAGGAACAGCCCAATGTAAGCAGACTCACTTCTAGAAAGCTGAATAGCCTTCTCTGGACACTGCATCGATTTCGAAAGGAAGTCATCATACGTCACTATAGTTACAGCCTCTTCAGACTTGTCCCATTAGTTTGTAGGAAGCTATGGGGATCGTGTTCATAATAGGCTTATTCTATATCTACCTTAAAAAGGGCCAAGAGGGAGTCAGGGTTGTGTCGTGCAGGGCATTCAAGCGAAGAATAGATGGCGTTCAAGGTGATCACCCTTGAAGGACCTGAAGACCAGAGCGGCCAGGAACTAGGCACGAAGAATCAAAAAGACATTGAACGAAAAGAAGCAAAAACATACAACAGTGAGGATTCGCTGGTGGTCACCCACCCAACTACTAACTCACCGGCGTGTGGCTTAAGTACGGTCAATAGTTCGGTGGGTGTCGCCCGGGTGAGAAATACGTGGGCGCCGCCTTAGCGTCGCGCGACCGGGGGTGAGAAGGTTGAGTGCGCAATAGATAGGGTACGAAGTCGGGTGAGAACTCCCCCAAGTCGCGCGACTGCCGCACTGACCCCGTCAGCTGAACGTCAGCTGACTGTCAGCGGAAACAGCAGGCTGGCACGATTGGGTCATACCGTCCTATCTCCTACACTAGCCCCTTGGCGTCTGCACATCGATGCTTTTGATTAAAATGAGGTACGTGGCCATGCAGTCTCCAACTACGGTTGTTAGATTGGGTCTTTCGGGCTTGAGTCATGTGATCTTACTCCTTGGATGTGACATTCTGTAAGGATCGCATGGTTTCTATTGGATAGTACCATAACTAGTTAACGTATTTCACTACCGAGTGGTCCAATCCCCCGAGTGGTCCACCCAACCTAACCCATTAATTTTAAATGCATTTATCTTAACCAAAACGCCATTAAATTAAATAAACTAAAATCATCATCTATCTAGGCATCTATTAATTTTATGCCCTATTTTTCCACACCCAGTACATTTAGGTAAGGCCCTAGTTCTTGGCTGCAAAGGTGGCGAAGGCCTTCTTCGTGGCGGGGGTATAGGTGCTTCTATTGCTTCCACCGGCTGAATAATTAATGCAGATGCTTCTTAAACTGAGAGGCCCTCGTCGGTAGGTATCTGCCTCCGGGATCTGGCACGCTTTTGCTTCTGCTTCTCGTTGGCGGCGCGTAATTCGCTCACTTCTTTCTTAAGTAAAGCCGTAGATTGTATATAGATTTGGCAGGCTTCTAAAACCTGGTCTATCGCAGAATTTAACGGGCTCGGGGGGCTCCTTGACCTCGTACGAAGTAATGCTTTAATAGAGGAAGCTTGCTTTTGTAGTTGTATATAGTTAGTAGGCGTTCTTGGCTCCTAATCGCTACCCCGGCTGGATAGGGGGGTCGGGGTTCGAAGCCGAATATCAAGCTTTGAAATCACTCTCTCCGGTGAAAAAGGGACTAAACCAGCTGCTCCGAAGCTATTTTTAATAGTCTCCGATTTAAAAGCTTTAGTTCGTGCGAGGGGGTATACTTCGAGGAAATCAAGTTTATTAATATGATTTATCCCGGCCCGCATTTTTAATTCAACCAGCCGACCGTATGACCGTTTTAAGACCGTAAAACAGCCGATATCGAGAGGCTATAAAAGGTGAGGAGTGCGGAGGTATACAGATTGGTATGATTTTGTTTTCTTTACAGATTTCGTCGAATTTCCCGGTTAAATGACTTCCGTGACCGTCGAGTACTAGAAGCCGATACCCCCCCTTTATACGTGAAGAAGTCGAAGGAATAAAGAGCTTTTTAAGCTAGCAAAGTCTAATTTCATCGGAGGTCCATCCGTTAGGACTAACCTTAAACCGCTAATCGAGAGGAAGGCCGTCGAACCAAGATTCGATCAAGACTTTGCCTTTAAAAATCACGCACGGAGGAAGCGCCCACCCGGAAGCATTCGTACACTCGATCACCGTCACCCACTCGCGATTTCCGGGTTATAAAAGTGCTCGCCGACCGTAGTATTCACTTCTCGTAATAACCTTCGCAGTTGCCGTTAATCCTATCGCGAAACCGGTCTCGTCGAAGTTATAAATATCATCGGGGTCGATTCTAAATTGAAGTATAGTTTTTTGAATAAGATTAAACCACTCCCTAATGATTTTCGGGTCTTCGCATTTCGCACGCTCGTAATTATACCGTTTCGAGAATCGAGAGGAGAGGAGAGGATGTCGTTTAACGAATTTTGTGACCTAATTTTGGCCGACCGAAAGAACCAGGGTGCTTCCGCGCTTTTCGAGAAGAAGATTCGCCATTTCTCGTACGGTAGAGGGCCGGGGAGCTGATCCGCGAGAATCCATAGAGAGAATCCATTTTTGAAGAGATTCCTCTTCAATTTCTGTTAATTTGTGAATTGGCGCGAGAAATCGCGCGGCTTTGGAGAGGCATTATCCGGTCTATATGTTTTTATAGAAACTGTCTTCGACTCTCAAAAATTACATAGTCCAAGGCTTCCGGGACTGCTCGGACAGTGCGCCTATTCCCCAGAGTAACACATCGTTTACCCACCCCATCTGGAGTACCTACGTGTACGATTGAGAGAGAGAATAGAGAACAAATTTAGCGCTGAGTCGTCGCTACGAAAGAATATTTCCGGGCGAAATTAATACATTGAATCATACAAAGAGCACCAGTACGTTTTGAGATGCTTTCGCCCAGGGACGCTGAGTGCAGCATTGAGATAGTCAAGTATCTTGACAAGCAATTACATATGGTCAAGTGATGAAACAGGATTCGACTTGACATCAGGGCGGGGAAGATCGGCGGGCTCCGATCTGGAGCGACCTTGGAAGCTTGGCTCCCGTCTCTTCCTCTTCAACTCAAAAGCATCATCTCACCATGGCAATCCAGTCACTACGTGAAATCAACGCGTATAATCTACGCACCTTCCAGCGCCACTATGTCTCCGAGATCTCAGGCTCGCTTGGCGATCTAGGCACATTTCTGCCTATTGCGATTGCGCTAGCTATCAACGGCACTGTCTCCCTTGCCAGCACGTTGATATTCTCGGGGCTTTTCAATATTCTAACAGGTCTGTTTTTCGGTATTCCGCTGCCAGTTCAGCCGATGAAGGCCATCGCCGCAGTGGCCATCGCGCGTAGTTTCTCAAACGGCACGATCGCTGCGGCGGGGATCTTCGTCGGTGCCTGTATCCTTGTCTTCAGCGCGACGGGTATCCTGCGCTGGTTCGCCAGTGTAATTCCAATTCCAGTTATCAAGGGTATCCAAGTCGGCGCGGGATTATCTCTGATCATCGCAGCCTGCAGCAGCATGCTGCATCCCTTGGGCTGGATCAACCCCTCCTGGGCCGATAACCGTATCTGGGCAATTGCTGCATTTGTTGCGCTTCTGCTCACCAATATTTATCGCCGAGTGCCCTATGCAATCGTCGTGTTAGTGCTGGGCCTGGTGTTTGCTATTATTCGGACTGCACTGGCGGGGCATATGCCCGGTTTCGAAGTGTGGCATCCTTTCGCTCTGGTTCCGACCCCGCATCAATGGCGTGTCGGTGCTGTGGATGCTGGTATCGGCCAAATTCCTCTTACCACGCTCAACTCCATTGTGGCGGTCGTCCACCTGGCGAATGATCTACTCCCGAACGTACGCACTCCATCCATCACCCACGTCGGACTGAGCGTAGCCGGTATGAACTTAATCGGCTGCTGGTTCGGTGCTATGCCCGTCTGCCATGGATCTGGTGGTCTTGCAGCGCAGTATCGGTTCGGAGCTCGCTCAGGAGCAAGTGTGATCTTCCTCGGCCTGTTGAAACTCCTTATCGGCTTGCTCTTCGGAGAAACCTTGGTTGACCTTCTGAAGCGGTTCCCTGCTGCCTTGCTCGGCGTAATGGTTATCGCGGCTGGTGCAGAACTGCTTAGCGTGGGCGAGAGCCTCAACACCACTGGTGCTCGGGACCTCAACGATGCCGATGCTGGCCTTTTGTCAAATGTGGGGCAGCATCTTGGTCCTGTTCTCACGGATGAAGAACGCAGTCGCCGCTGGACTGTCATGATGGTCACTGTGGGGTTGCTGGTAGGGTTCAAAAATGATGCGATCGGCTTCACAGCCGGTATGCTTTGCCACTGGTCCTACGACATCCCGAAATGGTGGGAGAAGGCGCGCAGCCGCTGGTCAGAGGGACGTTTGCGTCTACGTGACTAAACATACATTGGAATGGGAAACTTTGGGTTTCTAATGTCCTGATATCCTTCACAACATATGCATGAAGAATTCACCGGATATATCATTTTTGATTCTATATATAGCAAGTGCAATTACTTACCACAAGCAAATGCAAATATCTACCAACACTCACCCTAAAACTGGACATTCCTAGTATCCACGTCACTCTCTCTCCGCAGCCTAGTACCTGTACTAGGATTCTCATACGGGCGGTCCTCCTTACCACCAGCACCCCTCATCTGCTGGTGACGCCTAGTAACCCCACCGACATCATACTCGGATTGGTCATTATATGTGCCGGTCACGGGGTCATAAACCCTGGACCCCATCGCCGAAGAAACCATATTAAACGAATCGTTCTCGCCGGCCCCATCCAAGAGTTGAGCCGCCGAACCACCAATATCAGCCAGGCCACGGGGCGTGGAAGTTTCGGACGTGTTATTTTGGGAATCTGGAACATCATCGTCTAGTTCGGTGATGCGCCGTATCCCACCTGCAGAGGTACCACCCGTGGGCTCTGGTAAAGCCAGTAGTTCCTGGCCTGTGTTGTCGTATCTCCGCTCCTCAACGACGGCTGGTTGGCCTAAATCTTGCTGAGCCGTACGTACGACTGTTGTTCCGTCGGGTTCGGTGAACGAGGTTGTTGAATACCTGTGTCCGGTTGTAGTCTTGCCGTCGCTGCCGTCGGTTGTGGAACTGTAATAGTACGAGGAACTTGTGAAAGAGTCGGACATCGTGGTGAACCGTAGTGCTCGGTGGGATATGGGAGAGGAAAACGTTGAACTGGTCCACTCTAAGTGATTTGCAGTTGGGCTTGTTTAGTTGGGTGAATGCAAGGTTGATACTAAACCTTTGGGAGGCCTTTTTACTGCCGGCTCGCTTGTAGAAGCGTCTCTGTCGGAAATGTTGGCAACGGCACCGTACAAGTTGTATTGATTGCTTTCGAAGTTCAACATGCTCAATTTCGATATGTTCAATGTTTATATAGTTCGTCTTGTCTTGTCCTGTGGCAAGCTTTACTTGCCGCTTGCATCATTGCCTCATGCGGCAACTAACCTCTATGGAAGAGGCAAAGACCCATCGGTGACGCCGAGGGGTCTGGAGATACCCCACGAGAGCTGAGCCGGGGAAAAAGAGCATATATTGAGCGTGTAGGCGTTGTCCATAGATGCCGCGCGCATGGATGGAGCCCAAGATAAGGCACTGGGCGTATCAAAACGGCTTATCACCCCTCCCCCGCTTTTCAACATCGAAACCAACTCATCTCCAACTCTGGAACATAAAGTACCTCATGGCTGGGCTTGCCGAATATCAAGTTGCCTCCTTCAAGGAGAACGGGTACCTCGTCCTTCCCGACTACCTTACCCCAACCGAGGTCACCGGTCTCCTCGCCGAGACAAACAAACTCCTCGAGGAGTTCCCACTAGAATCCCACCCCCTCACCCAGTTCACAACGGGCGACGAAAGCGCCGAGCATGTAGGCGACGACTACTTTCTGGACTCAGGCGACAAGATCCGCTTCTTTTTCGAGCCAGACGCGTTCGGCACCGAGCCGGATCCATTAACCGGCCGGGCCGCGCTACTGAAGCCCAAAAACCGCGCCGTTAACAAGATCGGTCATTCGCTGCATACCTTGTCGCCTCCATTCAGGGCCATATCACTCAACGAGCGCAACGCTGCTGTCGCGCGCTCCCTGGGCTTCGCCGATCCCCGCGTGCTGCAGAGTATGGTTATCTGCAAGCAGCCCTCGATTGGTGGGGCTGTGCCATCTCATCGCGATTCGGAGTTTTTGTATACAGATCCGCCTTCTGCCGTAGGCTGGTGGTATGCACTGCAGGATGCGGGACCGGCGAATGGGACACTGGGTATGTACAAGGGATCACATACGGGAAAGAAGGGTGGGCACATTACTAGGAGGTTTGTGAGAAGGGAGAATGGGGCCGGGACGGAGTTTATTGAGAATCGGGGGCCTTCGCTCCCAAAAGGCATGGAGGAGGAGAAGAGTTCGGAGGCTACAGATGAGGATCTGGAGATTCTTGATATCAAGGCTGGATCGCTTGTGCTCATTCATGGAAATGTCTTGCATAAGAGCGAGAAGAATACCAGCCTGAATAGTCGGTATGCCTATACCTTCCATGTTATTGAGGGCGCGGAGGGGTGGGAGTATGATGCACGGAATTGGTTGCAGCCGCCTGCTGGTGGGTTCTCGAAGTTGAATACTTGATACACTGTCAGAATACGAATGAATGATGTTACGGTCAATAATGGTAAATAGTGATGGTAATAGTTCGACTTTTATTCTTTATGCAAATCCTGTACAAAAGATGGCCCGCCATATACACCGAGTGTGCGAATCCCAGACACCCCGAACTCCAAGTTGCAATTCAAGGCCGTCAGATCAGGTTGCCTTCAACATGTCGAGCATTCCCTTTGTTTGCCACGCTTGTTGGGCCATCTCCACTTCATCGCGTACCCGGCGGTGCAGACGTTCCACCATCTTGTCGATCTGAGCGGACTGGCCCAGGTTTCCAGAGTAGATATCGAGAAGGTTCATGGCGACCTCGACGCTGAGATCGACCAGGCGGGGTTCACGGATGTTCTTGTGAACCCACTGCAGGACGGGCTGGAGGGTGACCTCATCGCGGTCCTTCAGAGAGGCGCGGAGGGCAGAGCGGTGGCGCAGGGCCGTGAGCAGTGTAAGTTGCGCGGTCTTATCGGCCGAGGTGAGGACTTGGTCCAACGCAACAGAGTAGCGTGCCTTACGGAGATCGTTCTCCCAAGGCTGCTCCCTCTTCCGCTTCTTGCGATCCTGGCCCTCAATGACAATCTCCACACCTTCTCCGATAAAGTCGCGTCCACGCAGGCGCTTTTCCCAGCCAGAGCCACGGGCCTTCTTCTTTTTGGCGACTTCCCGGTCGTGCTCCTCCAATTTGCCCTCCAGCAGAGCTGCCATTTCCTTGCGGCGTTCCCGCTCCTTGATCTTCTGTTGGCCAGACAGTCGGGTCTTAATAGACAGAATACCTGACTGCATACCAACAGCAATGTGCTTATCCTCGTATTCGGTCCCGGAAGTAATCGCGCGCAGAGAGAGAATGGGCGACGGGTATTTGGATCCGGAGACGGGGTTCCACCCTGTGGTCTCAAAGACCTTCATATGTCCATCGAGCGCACCACTGAGCAATCGCTCACCATTAGAGGCCAGCGCAAGGGCAGTGACGGTCTTTTGGTGGCTCTGGATCATGTGCAGCGGCTTACCAGCCACAATATCTAGCACCGCAATCTTGTTGTCGGCCGCGGCCAGAACTGTAGTTCCGGCTGGCATGGGCAGAACGGTCTCGATCGGCGCACCCATCTTGAACGTCATAGCGGCACGGTTTCCAACTCGAGGATCCCACAGTCGAACAGTGCGATCGTAAGAGCCCGAAACCACCAGACCAGAAGAAGCCATCGAGCCAGGCATGAATGCACCGCTGCGCACGTAATCGCTATGGCCGACAAAGGTGCGCGCACTAGTTTGCGATGGCAAGTCCCACAGCCTCACTGTGCGGTCATCACTAGCTGTGAGTACCGACGTAGGGTCACTGGGAGAGAACTTGGTCACCCACACAGGCTGCTTGTGGTCCTTCCATGTCTTGAGGATGGCGCGCGACTTGGCATCGAAAACTTGCACGGCACCGGTGTCATCACCCGTCACCAAGACACGTCCATCCGCTCGAACGTCAGTACCGCGCACGGTATCGTCAAACCGTGTCAGTGTCCGCAGGAGTTTCCGTGTACGAATCGAATAGATCTGGACTCGTGCGCCTGTTGTCACGGTGAAGACATCGGGCGGTTGTGTAAGAGAGGGGAATGCCGCGGCAGAGGAAGGAACGGAAGGCTGAGTGATGAGATTGACCGGTCCATTGGCCGGCGACGGAATCAAGATCGGGTTTTTGAATGTCCGCCAGTATTGTTGCTCGGGCGTTAACTGCGTCGAGGGTAATGAGGCAAGCTTGACCTGCTGCAGGGGCAGGACGGGCGCCGCCATGGTTGCAGTAGTGGATAGACAGTAAGGTGTTCAGGGGTATTAGTTAGGTAGTTAACCCGGGATGAGCAATGGGGGCAAGTTAAGCCGACTAGAGTACTATCATGAAGTTCATGAAGACCAATCTTTTTTCTGCCGATCAAAAAAGTTCGCCTCGCCCAATCGGGAATGGTGGCGGTAGCTATTAATGCCTGAGACCTCAGGCTACAAATTTTGGCCTGACACACAATACAGGAATTAACTAGTTAACTAGTCAGTTAGGCTCTTGGCATTCTTGATTTGCCTGTACGTAGTACATCAAATATATGTGACAGGCTGACAACAATCAGAGCCTAGACTGGACCCTCATGAGATGAGTCCAGGGTGTGAAACTTACAAGATACCCCTAGGTCAATTCTTTCATTATCTGATTCGACCCATTACAAGTTCTCTACCTCCGATTTCCATAAGGATACAGGCACTATACCCCCATTCAGCTTTGCTCGGTAGACCATCTGCATCCAATACGTAAACAGCCAACCTCATTATCTTTTCCAATTATATTTTGTACCCGATGGCCTAGTGGCTAAGGCTTTACCCCGGCCCCCCTTACGTCTAACTATATGATTTGCAAAAGCAGACTAGGAGAGCCTTAAGTCTGCTTTTTTAATCTCCCTGAGATTTTGAGCCTGCGTGAAGCAAAAAACTGCAGCTGTGTAGAGAGTGAGCAGGCCCAGCACGCTAGTATTCTTTTGACCCAATGATCGTGTACTTCACCCGCTACTGTGCAAGCAGATTCTAGTAAACATCGATCACGACAGTACGGATCAGGTGTGCATTTGCCAATTAACGAATACCGTCAGACTAGCGGCAGCTCTTATTTACGGTATCAGCCACATTAGCTTTCTATGTCCAGCCTGCAGATGTACTAACAAATGCCGAGTCCATGCATATGAACGGGACAGCTAATTCGGTCAGAAGATCCGAGAATCCGTCAAAGGAAAGAAGTAAGCTGGCTAATTGAAGCTCTTGATCCACCTGCGCGAACTTTCCACCTTTTACACAAGACTGAGGGAGTAAAATATATTTACTGTAGTCTGCAGATGTGAACTGACTGTGACACAGCATGACGACAGATCATGGCCTAGGCCACGCTGACTGAAAGATAACCAAACCGCTAATCTGCCGATCCCCGCGGCGTTCTCCCAATAGAAAGGACATAAAATCCGCCTATAGTACCCAAAATTGAGCTCTACGAAGCCTTCTAAAGTGCTATCGCGCTTGCTCAGAGAGTCTGGCTTTCTCTGATCATACCTCCACCCCAAATCATTATGGCCGTTCCATATCCCCAAGGAGAGTGCTTTTTCAAGCGCAGTGCGTTGAAGTCCTCTGGAACAGACAAAGTCCGCTTCAATGCTGAAGACCAGAGTCATTTTTACAGCAACATGCTGATCGAAATGGTCTGGAATCGGGAGTCTCATCACGGCTCAGCAGAAACAAATGGTACAAAGGGTCATCCCCACAGAAGATCAGACTATAAAGTCGTCTATGGTGGTGGTGGGTGGAGGACATACTACGGGGCCTACACCCATTTGCCGTTGACCTATGGACATTATCGACAGGCGACAAGGCGTGTTCAAAATGAGTTGTGTACCTGGGGGTGGCGTTTCAAGAACAGAGAAAGAGGAGCTTCGTATGAGGTACTGTGACGTAGGATACTCTTGATAGTCTATTGTGCACGATGAGCTGATCAGCACTAATGATTAGGCCTGGTTCATGTTTGTCCCGATGCCGACTCGCGAGGAGGACTGGGTTTTCATCGATGTCAGTTTACCTCCATTATCCATATGTGCAAGTACTGATATTGGACCTTGGAGCTCAGCGCCTTTGTTGCATCCGGGCAATATACCTTCCTGTGTCCCACAAGACAAGTGAGAAGAACCCCGATATGTGTACTTATTTGCATGTGCGGTTCAGCGGCCTCAGTTCCAAGATTACAATGGAGTATCACAAAGACAAGACACCCCAGAAGGAGGCAGAGCTCTACGAATGGGACCATGGCGGAGTGGAAGTCATCACAAAGGAACTCACCTGCGACAGCACGCTGGGGTTGAGGACAGATGGAAAAACTGCCATCGGAATCAACATCACCAGACTAGCTGCAACGCTAGGCATCCCTCATGGCTTCCGAAAGAAGGATGCCTTTGAAATGAAGGCAATCATCCTCGTCGACTCCAGCCTAATTCCCTATGTTCCTGTCCAGCAAAATCTCACCGACGCATGCATGGCGGATTGGGCCAAGATCCCCAGTGAGAATCAGGGTCTCACGATCGAATGGGGCAAGGTTGAAAATTCACATGCTTGGTATTTCCACTGGGTTGGGGACTCTTTCGTGTTCATAATCGGATTTATTCCGATTATCGGTCCGTTCATAGCCTGCGGTGCCGCGGTACTTGTGGCTTGGGCCAAAGACCCTGAAAGCTGGATGGACCAGCTGCGATCCTCCGTTCCCTCTGTGCGGCTCACAGAGGGCATGATTGAAGAGGGCAAAAAATTGGCCGTAATATGCAGGGAGGCCATGGTCGATGTTGGCTTACTTTCGACTACCCCAAAGGTCACCCTTGAGATGCCGGAGAATGATGAGGCCAGCAAAGACGTCAAGGAGCTCATAGCAGCCGGTGAAGGCGACTCGGCCGGAGAGTCCGTGGTCGAGGTCTCCAGCCAAAACGCATATTCGGAGAAAGCATTCGAGGCGATCGTCGACAAACACATGCAGCAACTCTGGGACTTGGAATTAGGAGTGCTCGGCCATGGTCCTCTTCATGAGGAGGCAAACCTTCTGTTCAATACTCATGTCAAGAAAGTCCCAGATCTTCCCGAATTCCGAAACCTGGTACGCCAGACTTTGAAGGAAAAGTGGCAAAACGAGACATATGATAAGGTTAAGCGAGTGCCGGATGACCAGTATGGTCTAAGTGATGAGCATTTGAAGAAGATGAAGGAACAGTATATAAAAGACGGGGCGGCAAAGTAGTCCACGATGAGATTGCGCATTGGCAGAGAGCAAACCTGTAAGGGTTGCAGATCTCGGGTAGTTCTTTTCTCCAATACTAGACGTCACCAAATCGATCATTCTGTGAATTTATTCGGCATCGTCTTATCAACGAAAATACAATCCAAGGGCTTGGGTACTTGGGGAACCTGGCTTCTCTGGTTGACTTGCTATGCAGGATACTAAACCTAACATTAGTTAGCGCACCAATAAGCAGAGTAATGTAACCTGGAAGCGATCTGTTCCTCCCTAAAAAAGTAAAGGCGATGGATTACTACTTGATATATCAATCGGAGGAACGACGGGGATCCCCAGACACGGAAAAAGCAACAGAGAGTGAATACGAAAACTGGAGGCAGGAAGCCTAAGAAGGAAGGGAGGAAAAGCAGACAAGCATCAATCGAGGGGGCCGTGGAGACAAAAGACTGCGATCGGAAGTGAGCACATTTCACGCAAGAACGCGGCTGATACTCGACGTTGTTGCATGAATAGCGCGAATTTGTCTCAGAGAAAGATCGCCATCTCATGAAGATAGATAGAGGTTAGGTTTCTCCATCAGGTGATCGCATAGAACTCCAAGAATAGCTGGAGCGACACTCGTGGTCGACCACACTTTTTCGGCGGGGCTTTGACGCTGTCCAAGATTCTTATATCAGAAGAGATTCTCAGGATGGTTCTACTGTTGCAGCCAGCAGCCCGTACCATCTGCGGTACAGACAGCTCTCCACTGTGGACCATGTCAGAGATAGGCTCATGCTTTGAGGTAGGGTTTGGTGCCATCCCGGCGTGGCCACTTAGAACTATTGTTGAACTTGTCATGTACCAAGGGAGATCATCTTTTGGGGCGGGGTAAAAGGTGCGGGAGACTGTGTGTACAATATAAGAAACAATACAAGCCCCAATGCCAAGGATAGGCGGAAAAATTCTAAACATCCATCAGGTCAATCAACCTCAACCTTGGAAGGGATCTTCCGTTAAGTAAGCCTAACGTTTTCCATCAATGGACCCGCCTAAAGATAAAACTGAAATCTGATGGATACATATGTATACATTGCACATCGTAGGCTTCCATATTCGTCATGTTAATAATAGTAACCCTGGCAGGGATTGATTGCCCCACGAACCCACCGAGGCAGTGAGGCAGGCAACGTCATTAATCTCGAAAGTACGGGGAATCAGTAGGGGATGATGTGTGTAGAGCAGGTGAACAAGACAGTCTCACTAATATTGCCAATGTCATGCAGTACCAAAAAAGGCATACCCAACATCCGACTCACATTATACACAGGATGATTAGGACCGTGATGTGGTCGCTATGGCAATCCGGGCGGGGCGAAACGGAGATCCATCGTGGTGCAGCTCCCTAACCCTAAAGGTGGGGAGCCGCGACGGTTTGACAGCTTATTGAAGCTCCAATGCAGCTGAAACCTGATTCAAAAACAGCAATACGGAGTATACAGGGATGACGATCTTGTCTGGACCAATCGTCGGCAATCCACGCGCTATCCCAGAATGTGCAAATATCTGCACATACGAATCTGCGGTGGCTGGGGATTCCGATCGAGCTGAGGATCCACTGCATGTGGAACCGAACTCGGGTTGGGCAAAGAGGGCTTGAATGGCATCATGCAATATATCGGTATATGACGATGTTAATATAGCGATGAGAACATTGAATATAATGAGATGTAGTACTTCGTGGAGAGCAACCTAGCAGTGCTAGCTACATATGTTTCTTGGTTGTGTTTGGTCGGATGCAAGGTCTGTGTATCAATGGCATGGTAGTCGAGACACCGCCAGGGGTAGAGCCAATCAACTTCCCGGATCTGATACAACCCCAGCCACCTCCGATACTTGCAGACATTCCAAGAGTATCTTTTCTCTTTTCTTCTTCCCCCCTCCCACTGCATTGGCTCAATGGTCTTTTCTGTTTATATCCAACATACCCATTAACAACTGGGTCAGCAATGTCGAAGATCACCAAGGTTAACCATGCGGCGGGCATATTCGCTGACATCTCCGTGGATGGCCCCATTATCGGTACCTTGGTCGCTATCATCGACCGAGCCAAGAACCTACCCAACCGGAAGACTATGGGCAAGCAGAATCCCTATGCTGCGGCACGATTGGGCAAGGAAGCAAAGAAAACACAAACAGATTTGCGAGGAGGACAAACTCCTAGATGGTAAGCTCTTGGCCTGACATGGGGGAATTGAAGCTTACTTGTCCAGGGACTCGGAACTCCGATTTACCGTACATGAATCCCCCGATTACTTCAAGTTAAAGGTCTCAGTGTTCAATGACGATAAGAAGACAGATTTGATCGGCGAGACCTGGGTCGATTTACAAAACCTGATCATTCCGGGTGGAAGCCAGAATGATCATTGGCACCCACTTCAATACCGTGGGAAATATGCAGGAGAAATCCGAATCGAAATGACTTACTACGACACCAGAGAACAGGACGAGGTCCTGATAGGACGGCGACAAGAAGCCGCTGACCGAGTCCAAGGCAAAGTCCCTAGTACTCCCAGCAGCACGGGCTTGTCAGGTCCGCGGCAATTGAAAGATGTCAAGCGACGACCCTTGCCCAGTGGTCCTGCAGGAGCCCCGGCAAGACCAGCTCCTCTGGAACAAACTCACTCTGCGCCTCCACTTCACCACCCCGCCCCGTCGAGACCCGTCATCACTGAACATTCAAACACGGTACCTGGTGCTCCCGAGACTATCTCCCATGCCCCGAGTCATTCGGACCCTGCTTACGATGTGTCGTCTTATCGCGCACCTTCTCCTGTCCTGCCCCCATCTCGGGGTGGGTATGATGGTGCCGACAACTATACTCAAGCTGTTGCTCCTCTCCGCCGACAAATCACTCATGAACTGCCTTATACCTCTAATGAAGTCATTGAAAGCCCATACGACCAGCATCTACTACAGCAGCAAGAGCAGCAGCAGCAGCAGCAGCAGCAGCAACTGCAGCATGAGCAACTGCAACAACGACTCCAGCAGGAACAGCTGCAGCAACAACAACAAATGCAGCGAGAACAACTGCAGCAAGAACATCTGCAACTGCGGAATCATTCCGAGTATGATCAACCACCTTCGAGAGATTATCGCCTCGCCAGGCAAAGCCAATACGAGGCAGTTTCCCATGAGGAAGTGCCATACCATCCTACCCGCCAAGATCCCTACGCTCAAATAGAGCAACCACGGTACGATCCAGATCCTATGTCATATGGGGCAACGCATGCACACGAGCTGCCGGCTTCAGACTTTATGCCTTCCTCTTTCGGGCCAGTAGATGACCCGAGGTACCATCCGCACAGAGTTCGACCTCTACAAATCACTGCTCATGGTCATGACTACCATCCAGAGTATGCCGGAATGCAACCACGAGTAGAGGATGAAGATGATGACGGACCTCCCCCTCCTCCACCGGCACACCGGTCACGAAGGGCTCACTCCCAGCTGCCCAACCCGAAAACATCGCCCCAACCATATGCACCGTACACACCCCAGTCTACTTCTCGATCCTCAGTTCCCCATCTCCCATCGAGTATGTCTACCTCGTCCCACCGCGATCGCTACCAGGAGCCTTCTTCAATGGGGAGCTCCCCAGGTATGCCTGCAAGCCTCGTCGCGGGTTATGAACCGCAAGAGCCATCTGAGAGATCAGCACTCGAACGATCAGTCCACAGACGCAGCACCCACTGGGACGATGAGATGATGATTTCCCAGTCACCCGCACCACTTCCTGCATCAGCACCCATCCAGTACGATGCTCCTGTCCACCCTTTGCGAACATCCCCCCGACCTATTGAACAAAGACCCACTTCTAGCAGAGGTGGATCTGTCAGCCCTGATATGCGGGCTGTGACACGAAAGTCAGTCAGTCCGCGGCCCTCTTCCTCAGACGTCGGTGGTGGCTCTTCAATCCCTTTCTCTCCCGACTCCTACATCTCTCTGAACCCGAATGCCTCTCACCCTCCCAGCCGAGATCCTTCGCCGGCATATGACTCGCCTTCGCAAGCTAGAGATGCCGTGATACGTGGAAAGACTGAACCCCATCGAGACGTTGATCACCCAATCATCGGGGATGACGGTCGTGAAATAGACCCCTCTGACCATCTTCCCACCGATACATGGGCGCCGGAACCAGAAAGGAAGAACCGCAAGCCTGAGGTTATTATCCGCTTCAAACACTCGCCTCGGCCAACTTCTAGAGGCAACGACTCCCCCTCACGCAGCACGGGCCCGCCACGCGTCGGATTCAGAACGGAGACCACTACTTATCCGTCAGATCGTCCAGTTCAGTACACACCCACGCATGTCCACGCAAGTCCAGGGGCACTGGTCCGAACCCCACCTCGGCCGGACTACGCGCGCGAGCGCTCTGACAGCTACACGCGAAGTCGGGCGTACAACACGCCCACTTCGGTTGAGCGGCCCCGCTCTTCCCGAGGTTCTGTCTCGCCATCCCCGGGGTCTCGTTCGCCACTGTATGACTACAGCCCAGGTCCTCCGATTCCAAGCAAGGTGCCAATAAGCGGAGGAAGCCCCAGCTACCCCGTCATGTCTGGCAATCCAACTGGAAACGTCCGCATGGATGCTTTGAGTCGAGAGCTGAGTACGATCGACATTGGCTCCTCGGCGTGCAGCCCTGCCCGGGGTGCCGTTCGAAAGTACGTACCCAGACAACCAGCATCCATGGGCTACGCTAGGTAAAACGATTTTCATTTTACGTTATCGATGGCTTACGTACGCTATGTCTATGTTGGGCTCTCTGCGGGCATGTTTCCCCGGTTCTTTTCAATTTTCAATTTTCAGACTGCATTGCTCTTGATATCCGGCAAAGATGGCGTTGTGGATTTGATTTACGGGGGGTATCGTTTCTTGATGATGCGCACATAACAGCAATAACCAATGATACCTTAAAGTGACACCTTGACTCTTAGTAGACGGGTATTTCTGTAGACTTGAGACTGTGTTTGACAAGTTCATTGATGTAGTTGCTCGGTGGTCTGACAGTAGTCATCAGCGTTGTCTATATAAGTCTTCAAGATATCGTGGTCTCTCCAGTAGAATTTATTCCATTCTGCTAGCTCTGGCTGCCTGTGGTCGTCCTTCACGCCATGCTCTCTCATATATGGAGATATTAGACTCAGGCTGTGAGCCAACGACATCATTAGTTTAACACTCTTCTAGAATCTGCTCATCCCTAATGGGTTAAAACTATTGTCAGGCATCATGTTTTCTGTTGATATAAGCACCACCACCATACGCAGTAAATGGATACTACAGGCTCGGCTCTTACAATTTGTTATGTGGCCATGAAAGATCACAACACAACGCGATGTAGATATTGGGATAGTGATATCCAACAAAGGGGAAAGTGATCTAGAAGTGATCTGAACTCGATCAAAGACAAACATTGTAGGCAATTTCCTGCAAAGATATAAAAGCCCATCCTATTCTGGTACTGCTCTTCCTCCTCTATCCTATCCTCGCACAGTTTCCCTTTTGCACTTTTGCCCAACATCTGAAGTCTTTTACACTATTAGATAGCTCGTGCATCATCGACAACGAGCTTTGCTATCAAAATCCATCATCACCTAGGTACGTTCGTCATCAAGGACGTACTTTCCTTTCATTATCCTTGTCTGGTCTCGCATCTTAGCTTCCATCCAGCATGCAAGGTCAGGGCCCTGACATCCCAGGCCATCGGGGCCAACTCCCTGAGGACTTGAAGATGTATGTATTTTCAATATCCCCGGATATACTCGGTATTTTATGAGTTGAAAGTCTTCCTCATCCTCCCACCATGACTTGTTGATGTCCACGTCTTTCGCGTTTGTCTTGGGATCAGATTTGCTAACTTATAGAGCTTAGGCCTAGCAACACTGCCCATGCCAACCAACAAGCTTCCACGTGAGTACACGATGTATCCTCTGGCATCGTTATTTTCCTAGCACCCAAGACTATTCTATCTGGCGTCGCACCTTTGGCTTCGTCCTCCTATTCCTTTGCCTTCCTGATACTCGTTCACTACCTACCAACTGTGCTCTGCGATCCCGGCTCGTCTTATGTGTCAAGAACATCGTGCTTTGTCAAAGTTTCAGCTAATCGAAATATTAGCCCCGGTGGCTCCCCTCCGACAATCTACCAGGGGAATCCTCAGTTGTCCCTATTACTCTCTCCTCCCCCAACCTCACCATTGATACCGCTGGACACAATGAATTCCAGCCCTCTCCCTAGTCCTCTCCACCAAAACAGCCCGTCATATCCACTTGGTCCCCAATTCACCAGCACGAATGGATCATATCCTGCCTATAACCCCAGCCGAGGAGCACAGCTCAGGAGTGCTGCCGATTGCGCGAATCCATACCGTGATAGACTGGAACGAGCCGACGATGCACGAGGGCAGGAACGGGCTCGCAGCAGGAGTCCTCGCCGCCCAATCCAACTCGGGGATCTAGAAGTACCAAAAGCTCAATTTATGAGATTCAATCAGTATCCCCGGGAGATGTATGTCCCTCCTGGAATTAATGACCTGATGCCTCCAAATCTGCCTAGCTCCTCCCCGACACTATCTCCAACCAACACCCAGCCTCGTAGTGGTCATGCTCCAGACTATATAGGGGGCTCTCTTGCACAGACTTACCCTCCCAATGACGGCAACGTGTATGGATACCCCCGCGACCAGCGACAACAAGTGCAGGGGTGTGACCCGGGAGCCGACGGACAGCCGGCAAACAAACAAGAAGATACCAACAAAAGGGACGAGGATCACTTATGTGAATTCGCTGCTCCATGCCGAATGCATCCCTCACCCGATGGAATGCACTACCGGAAGGTTGTCTCGCACGTTTTCGGCAGGAACAAAGCCGTCACCAAGCTGTTCCCACTCGGCGTCTGGGTCCACTATTGTCGAAAGCACTACCAGCGTGCCCGATATCGCGCAGACCAATGGCCATTTACGCAGTGTGACCTACTGTTAGAATCACTGAACCGAATGGAGAACTGGGATGGAGTAGAGAGTTTCGAACTCATCCTGCGCCGCCGAGAGCAAATGCGTGTCGGACGTGAAACTGAAGGCGCGCCCATCACCGAGACCTCCAATCAGAACGATACTACCCCCTCTGTCGGCCAGACCCAAGATCAGGACAATAAGTCCTCAGGTGTCGTTGCTCGCCCTCAAGGCCGCAAGCATCCAACTGCTATCATCGCCCCCGTTCCGGATTGGCTTCGCCAACACGTTGGTCACGGCAAGACATTTCAAGAAATCCGTCACATTATCGAACTGGTGCGTAACCACATGGTGAGGCTGCGAAATCAGGAAAGAGCGCAACAGCAGCTCAATCATATTCCCAAGTCCCCGAGCGCACCAGGAAGCCCTCGTCGAGGTGCGCCTTCGACCGGCCGAAGGGGTCGTATCACTAAACCCGCCCACCGTGACCCCCTACGCGTGCGTGCTAGCACAGTTCGTTTCCCCGATGTTGAAATCCTCCCCCATTTCAAGCCTTGGGTTAAGGAGGCTGCTCTACGCCAGCGGTCTGCCACTAACTGTCCCATGAACGAAACTGATATCAAAGGCTATGAGGCGGAGCAGGGAATTTCCGGAGGGGGACATATCATTGGAGAAATCCAGAGTACCCCTGACACCAATTCTCGGGCTGAATCGAGTCAGCCGGCAAACGGCGACTTTGCGAACAATAATACAACGCCCCACCATGATAGCCGCTCTGAGTCTATTTCTACAATTGAGATGACTTGGGGCAATCTCACGCAGATGCAGCCTCATATCGGCAGGGCTGGGACTAACCGCGGCCAGTCTGAGAGCCAGCGGCGTCGCAGCGAACGGGTCTACATCAAGGCCTTAGACCGTGTCCCTAGCAAGAAGCCCGACAAGGATGGTGAGCCCGGCAAGGAAGGCGACAAGTAGCTTTCCATCAAGTCGCCAATCTGCTTCCTGATGATCACTTAAGTGTGTGCTCATCAGTTTGGGTTTTGTTGATGTCCACCTACGATCACACGAAAAAAAGATTGAAAACGAGTTCCAAAAAAAAAAAAAACGCAGTCTATTGACAGGTTATTTATTCACTTACCAGCATCTTCCGGTGAGAAGCCGAGTTCATGGAATATTGAACGGACTCATTAACAAAAGAAGGCCCAACCACCAGAGTCTCGAGGCCCTTCTATCTTTCTCGACTCCACACGGCTGCGACGGGAAAAATTCATGGAAGAGCAGTTGAAGCCCGACGAAATGTGAAAGATGGGGGAAGATTTGTTGCTGCGCACATTACCGTCTTATGCCAAAAAGCTCAAAAAAGAAAGGTGTCAGAGTGATCTCCCGTGTCAAATTCTGCTGAGTTGCAGCTTGCACCTGTTGCCTGTAGGCGAACGTATTCATAGCAGTTTGGCGCTCAGTCGGATTCAGATTGCTGGTCATGACTCTTTGCGAAGACTTGGATAGGGATTTGAACGAGGAAGAGCAAGAAAAGAAATTGTCAATGGGGCCATAGTGCAGATGCTCGGATGGTTGATATGTACTTTGACGCCCCCTATGTATGATAACGAGTTAAATCAGAGAGCCTATCTGTGTCGAATAATTCGAATTAGGTGAGAATGGCCTGCTGAACGCCTAGGTGGCAACATTATCAGCGTCCTTATTTAATTTTCCCTAGGAGTTTTTTCCAATATCTTGATTGCATCCAAACTGCTTTTGTGATCTAAACAGCTTTCAACTTCTGTATAGTACAACTCCTTCGGAGATATATAGTCAAATAGTTTTCGGGACTTTAGGGCTCTCTGTAAGAAACAATATAAGCTCTTACAAGCTGCACTGCCAGCAGGGCCCGGGAAATTCCCAATAAGTACTAGTGTTAGTACTAGTGTTAGTACTGTTACTGTACTGTACTGTTGTACATGTAGATCTGCCGGGCCACGCGGAGATCATTTCTGTTTGGTCTCCGCGGATGCCTTCGATGGTGTATATAGCGCACTACGCCAACTTTTTCGGAGTCGTGCTTCCCTAGAAGCCTATTTTTTGCTGTGATCGCCTATTCAGATACAGATTTTGTCCCCTTCCTGATATACTGTACATAGATCACCTGATCTCCTTATATACGTCTCCTTTCCCCCACCGACTTCGCCCCCACTTGAGCAGTCCAAAGAATGACAGATCGAAGTCCCGAAGAAGCCGTGGACCCTTCGGCGAGTCGACGCCGCGCAAAACCTCAGCTCTCCTGTAATTTATGTAGACGTCGGAAGTACGTTTGCACACCAACGCCAATCCTCTCGAATATGCTGTCCTTCCAGCTAATAAGACTAGGCTGAAATGCAATCGCGAATATCCCTGCGGGACATGCTCCAAACGCGGGCTGGACAAGTCGTGCACTTACCCTCCAGATACGATGCAACCGACGAGGCTAGATCGTCCGTCAAATATGCAGGCTAGGATACATCAATTGGAAAGCTTGGTGGTCACTCTGATGCAGCAGAGCAAGAGCATCACGCATGAGGATTCAGCCGTATCTCTCCATGCGACCAGTCCAACACACGAAATGGACAATAAGGCGGATGATATCTCATCTCAATCGGATCATGGCAGCATAAAATTCAACAATGTTGGGACTTCCAGCTATGTCAATGGCAGCCATTGGGTTGCCGTTCTGGACGGAATTGCCGAACTGAAAGATTATTTCGAGCAGGAAGAAAGGGAGCGTGCCCAACCTTTCTTCGATCCAACATCTTCTGCGTCATTTGCCGGCCCGCAGCTACTCCTTGGCTGCCCTCATTACACAACCAGAGAGCAGCTCTTGGCATCACTCCCTGGAAAGCCCGAGGTGGACCGACTAGTGTCATTTTATTTCAACTCATTCGACATGTCTCCAGGTAAATGCGCGAACCCCTGATTTTGATTTCAAACCGGCTGAAAGTCACCATATAGCTATACTTCACAGCGTCGAGTTCTTAAAAGAAGTAAGCTCTTCCTCTCGGCATGTCCCTTCGAAGAGGTTCTAATTCCGATTCCTTCCAGTACGAACAATTTTGGGAGCGTCCTGACGATACCCCAATAATCTGGATAGGGCTCTTATACGCTACCATGTGCTTGGCCACACAGTTCCAGAGATTTCGATTCGAATCAGCCCTCCATCCCATAGTATCCGCAGAGCATGATCCCCAAACGATGGTGGAAGCTTTCCGCGCAAACATTGTTCAATGCCTGATCCTCGGAAAGTACCACATGGGTGGACCTTACGTACTCGAAACGTTGATTCTGTACTTCACCTGCGAGCATTTTAGCCACAAGGATGCACAGCTCGGAATCTGGTTACTCCTAGGTATCATTGTCCAATTGTCCATGCATATGGGGTTTCACCGCGATCCAAAGCATTTTGGAGATCAAGGCATCTCTCCGTTTGCGGGTGAGATGAGACGACGTGTGTGGGCTACAATCATGGAGTTGGACTTAGGAATATCAGCCCAGATGGGTCTTCCCCGTTTGATCAGACCGTGGCAGGCGGACACCGAGGAGCCTCGTAACTATCTGGATCGTGATTTTAATCAGCAAACTAGAGATCTTCCACCCCCACGGCCCGATACAGAGAATACACAGATGCTTTATCGACTCTCGAAAGCACGCATGATGTCTACCCTTGGCCTTATTCTCGACGGCGCCTCCGATATTCGAGCATACACATATACATATTCCAGGATTTTGAAGATAGATGCTAAGTTGAACGAGACTCATAATGCCATACCCATTTGTCTCAAATGGACCTCGATGACCCATTGCATCACAGACTCACCACAAGTCATCATGCAGAAACTGTTCCTGGAGCTGATGTTTCAAAAAGGCAAAATCATTCTTCATCGGAAATTCCTTTCGCAGCAAGGGGATCAATATAGGGATTCACACAGGGCATGCATACATGCGGCATTGATTATACTCGAATACCAACGTATTCTGGACGAGGAGACGCAGCCTTTTTGCCAGTTGTACCAAGAAAGATGGCGTGTCTCGTCACTTGTGAACCACGATTTTCTGCTAGCGGCCAGTGTTCTGTGTTCCTACTTGGAGCAGGAAAGTAAATTGAATCCCGATGGTCTGGCCGAGAATGCAGAAAGAATTCATGATGCATTAAAACGATCGCACGGCATTTGGGCTCGCTCAAGCTCTTCTGCAGAGGCTCAGAAAGCGGCGCACGCGTTAGAGGTCGTTCTTCGGAATAAGAAGGTTCTTTTCCCTTCGAATAGTTGCGAAGTTACGTCGGAAGCTTCACAATTCTATATGACAGATGATCCATTTGACTATCAAAGCGGTATGTTCTTATTGTTTCTTTTTTCTTTTTTTTTTTACTTCCTCTCTTTTGTCGAAGATTTCAGAGATGGCCCTTGTGCTGACGAGCTGTCTAGACCTAGGCGTTGGTCTCAACCTCAATTTCCCTCTCTTTCCCCAAGTGGAATGCCAGCCTTTGCCTAGTTTCATTCCTCCGGATCAGTTTGCCATGGACATGTACGCAACGAACAGTGAGTATCTTAATTCCATGTATATATGGACAGATTAACAGCGTTCTGTCTAGGTCAGCCTTTCTTGTCGCAAGAAAATTGGTCAAGTCGACAGTGACAGCTTCCCTAGCGGGACGGCTACCCTCAAGTGCTTGGCAGCCCCTAGGCCTGGGGAATTGGCTGCATTATAGTGAAATGGTCCTTTCTTCAGAATCGTCTTCAATGCCGAAGTTACATTGAGAGGATCCTTACGATTTACTCGTTTTATGTAGATTTTCAAGATATCTGGCTGCGTCGACCGCAGTTACATAGCGCGCTTGGGTATATGAATCTTAGATCAATATTTATATAGATTTGGCTATCTCTTGCTACGGAGGACATGAGTCTTAAGATTTGAAGGATGCGCCCAGATGTAAAAGACAGGTCAGAAGTGTACTTAAGCACCTAGTGCAAATCCTAAACTGGTCTACAGGACTTCTGGAAACAAACATCTCTTATCCGGAGCGAGTGAAGGGTCAACGAACCTTGTCAAAGGGTGATGGTGAAGCGAGTGCGTAAAAATTCACCGTAGCGGTAAACAGCCAGGGCACTGGGGTGAACGCAAGACAAATAAAACCGAGGACGCTATTTCCCCACCCAAGGCCTAACTTGTCATACAAAGGCGTAGCAGCGAGTGCAAGAAAGGCTCCAAAGGGGCTTCGGACAACGAGATTCGCGGCCAAGGCCGACGCTGCCGCTTCAGCCCCGAAGGCATCCACCAAGTAGACTTGGGCTGGCATGACGATGAACAAGGCTCCAAGTCCGATCACAAAAGTACCCACAATAGGAACCATCCAGTGGATATGATAGTATGCGCTCCATCCGTAGATAAAACATCCCGCCGGAGTGATCGGTGCAAACCATTTCATGAGAATCAGTCGCTCTTCAGGTCGGTTGACTGTACCACCTCGCTTCTGGCCGAGAAGTTTATCACTGAGAATGGCGAACAGTACTAGACCGATGATCATGCCTAGTCCGAGGCCTAGATAGGCCAGACCAGCGACTCCAATATCGAAGTGGTATTGTGACTCGAAGAGGGTCGGGAGGGTGGTGAAAAGAAGGAAAATGACACCGAACAGGGTGCCGCTATAAAGAGAGGTAAACAGTACAATCGGCGAGAATATCAACATCTTGACAGGTCTTACGATGGCGTGACGGAGCATTTTTCCAGGGCTCTCTCCGTCTAGGGAGACCGCTGCTGTGGCTGATTTTTCGGGCACTTTCGCTGCCTTTCGCTGCAGCAGAACCTTCGCGTTCGTTTCTCGCAGGAAGATCAGAGAGATAATACTGAAGACACCGGACTGTAAGTCGCTTGTCAAATTATATCCGACCATTTTATTTCGTCATATGATTCCATGGTCTTACCATGATCAAGATGATTCGGAACGTCCATCGCCAGCCAATCGTCTCCGCCACAAAACCACCAATGACAGGCCCAATGACCTGAGCCTGAGTGTTAGATCTGTTTGCCCATTGATCGGTAATATATGCGCAGACGTACCGGTCCTAACAGGGGTCCCACGGCAAACAGGGCCATCGCCTTTCCCCTCTCCTCTAATAAAGTCACATCTGCAACAGTTCCTCCACCAATGCTCATGGGTCCCGATGCTGCACATCCACAGATGAATCGGAAGACGAGGAACATGGAGACATCCGTGCTAAAGGCACAACCAGCGGTGAACGCGAAGTACAAGAGGTTGCAAATGTGGTATATAATCAGACGACCGTACAGTTCCGACAAGGGTGCTAAGATTAAAGGGCCCAGGGCGAATCCTAAGACATAGATGCTGACTGTCATGGCTTCGATGGTCGAGTCGGTGACGTGGAATTCAGAGATCAATTGCTCTGCTCCGGGAGCAAACATAGTGGCCGCTAGATTTCTGCTGGATGTTAGATCCCAACGCGATAAACCAATTCCCAGGTTATAAGAAAGGAATCCATACGCATAGAGTGTAAAGACGCTCACGAAAATGACGTGCATGTTCTTCTTCGTCTGGGGCCAGTTGAGCGGATTGGCGGGATCGTCAGGACCATCCCAGTCAACCGCATCCTGCTTCTCGAGTTCGCTTGACTTCTCTAACTCCAGACTTGCCGATCGTCTCTCTGTGTTACACATCACAGGAAGCTGTTCTGGTAGGGGATAAACGAAATGAAGGAACGGGAGTCGGTAGAAAAGAAGTGAGGGAATGTGTTGGTCAAAATCGAAGATAGACAACAAGATAAATCTCAGCGAAATGAAATTGATGATATGCAAGTGAGGTCCGGTATCTTCCAGGTGAAGATAGTCTGGCTGTTCTATATATGAAACTCAATATGGTCTATGTGGTCCCCCTAAACACTCCTTACTCGGACGATCCGCTTTGCATAACCGCGACTGTCCAACAAAGACAGTAGCAAGCCACAAGGGTCAACCGGGAGCAACAGAGTATGTCGATTGTCGGGAGGATCGGACGATCGGACGATCGGGTGGTCGGTTGGTCGGGCGGTGGTGGCGCATTGGCTCCACACTAGGGGTGTAGCTAAGGGATTAGTCCATCTAATTAGCTTGGAATCCTTCTTGAAGGACGTACATTATCAAGGAATAGATAATACCTTTCGCTTGCTGACTATCGATGGTGTCTCCTTTCAAGTCGAGGATAAACAGTTGTGGATGTTGATGAAACCTTGCAAAGGTTCTTTTATTGGGATAAGTCACTCGATACTAATGCTATATGGGTGTTACGATTGTCTCATGAAAGGCAGTTCCTCCTCAACCCCGTATGCTTACAGATCTACTCTTTCCCGTAGCACTTCCTTCAACGATTGCACTCCTTTGATCACTTCTCGGTCAAGCTCGACCTGAATTGCATTTTCAACAAATCCACTGTTGGGCGTCATCGTTTCTTCCATGTCGTGAGATGATTGAAGATTCTTGCCTCTCCCTGCAATGCTGAGACGCTCAGGAACACCTATCACGGTCTCAACTGCGTGGAGCATATCAAGTAGTGCACATATCGCAGTATATGTCTTAATCCACATATCCCCGGGAAGGGTCAATTCCCCGAGTCGGAGCCTTTCGCTGTCGTTTTGGCTCAAGAATGGCAATTTTTGTGTCGATTGCCGCTCTGATGATCTTCGGAGATGTGATTGAAAATGGCTCACCACAAAGACAAGTCCATCAACTCTGAAAGGCTAATTACATATAGAACAAAATCCTGAACTCATTTAAATTCAACCTCAGGTTCACTTCCAGTGTGTTAAAGGGCAACTTTTCTCCAAATCTGGAAGACCTCCTTATCCGGCTGATATATGCGCTTAGCCTTTTCTAACCTTACCGAAGCATCGGTTTCACATGGGTCGGATATGTCTTCATTGTTCCAGCTAAGCTTCGCCCTTCCCGCTTGCACTTCATACTCGAATGTGTATTCTAGGCGGTATTTCACCACGAGCCTCATCTGTCTCAACTTAGGCATTCGGAGGGCCGCCCGACCAGCCGAAAGGTAAAATCTATCGACATAACGCGCAATGATCCTTATTCGGAAGAATGTGGTCTTACGATCTTCGAGAGGAATCCGCACGTATTCAGGATAGTCGTTCTCATCATCTCCAAAAGAGTCGTAAGCATCGTGCGTGTCATCATCCACAACCCCTCCTAGCTCTCGTTCATAGAGCCACTCTCCAGATGGTGTTACTTCTGGATACTACACAGAAACATTAATCAGATTTGGCCAGAATAGCAGGTTGAGACCGTTGTCCTACGGATTACACGGCCAGAACAATTCTAGGCCAACCACGGATTAGGTGGTATAGAGACTTTCCAGTTGCCGTGAGAAATTCCGCAAGTGCGAGCTTAAAGCATCTATTCCATCTACCGTCACATTAGGAGGAGGGTAGTTCTGATCAGTAGGAGGCGAGTAGTTGAATTGTAGATCTAGGCTTCGTACAGTAGTAGGAAACAAGTGAAGATTACGAGCAAAGTCTAAGAGGTTAGTAGACTATAATATATAGTATCTTAATAAGGTCTAGCTTACCATTACGTAGACGTAGTCTCAATTATTCGTCTCGCTTACATTCATCCTTTATATTTAGCTGCACGTCCTTCAACCGCGGCAGCTTTAACGCAATAATCGCACTCGACGCCGGCTCGATTAGCCGCTGCCTCGCGAGTCCTTGGATTATGAGAGAGACGATCGCGGGGACGGGCGGGCACTCGGAGTCGGTGGTTGTTCTAAGGAATTCAAGGTAAGATCTCTCATATCTCTAACTAAGAAGATCGTTCACCCATGGTCTAGCCGCTCGTATTCGTTGCTTTATCTCACCCTTACTCTTAAGGGCGAGAAAGTCGCTAGGGGACTATGCCTTAATATTGAGACTGATTCTAGCGATGTCTAACCAGCCTGATAGGATCCTGAAAAGAGTGCTGATAGTCGTAGTGAAGATCTTGTTGTTTCGTTAGCGTTCCTCGTCTGTCTCGAATCGGGCGCGCGCTTTCTCATCGTATGCCTCTAGCTGCACGAGCAACCCAATTCTTCGGATAGAAGCTCTTCTGTGTGCGGTAGATACTAGCCGTTGAAACTCTTCCAATCGCTCAGTGGTGTTGATGCAGATATCCGAAAACGTGTGTCTTTCAATGATGGCCTGCCAGCGATGGTCCACAGTGGCGTATGGTGCCAGGCAAATACGAGGATTTCTTCCTGCAGGTCTATCAGAAATAATGTAGTCCACCACTCGGGAGACCAATTCTGGTGGCAGTGAGTCCATTTTGTACGTGCAAATGTGGGAATGAAGAACAAGTTGCGATATAGGCATCGCCGAGATCACGTGAGCAGGGCTATTCGCTCTTATGGGAGAACATGTTCGTAAGAAGACGTAGCTGAAGTTGGAAAGGACAGAGTGAAAAGTCTTCAGAGATATATACCATCTTTTCAGTCACGACCCGGTTTTTTTGGTGATAATAAAGTTCTACTCAATTGAAAATACCTAAAAACACTATAGGATGTTGAGTGGAGACGGGAGGAGGGGTGCGTGGGTGCGAATCAGAGGTGAGTGGCGGAACAATCGACAGGTGGGTGGCCAAAACGGCCTCAAAAACTACCATTTCTGGCCATCCGTTTGCCGTCATCTAGTTTAAGGAGTATAGGCCAGTAATAATGGAGTTTTGATAGGGTGCCCGGGTAAACCGCTAGCATTAACATTTTCATCCACTTCAACCCGCTGCTTCTAGGCATGTTCTTCGGTGATATTCGCAAGCTTTTGACGTTTCTACTTAGGTATATAGATGTGATCCCAACCGGTATGAGTCTAACCTGAACAGTGCAAGGAGAGCTCCGGGGAGGTTCACTGCCCAGGTATTTACGTATTTGATACGTATACTGATATTTGATACTATATGTACTAATAGTCCCCGTTTGTTACTAGCCTTCTCGCTTCTCTTCTTCTGCCTCATCTCCCTTCCGCTATACGTTCCTGTTTTGCCAATGTGCTGTACGTGGAGGTCAAGGCGGGTGATTGTTATTCGTAGCTGCCATTCGAAATCCCGGGTGCTGTGATATTGTCGGCCCCCTCTATTCCGTTCGAACCATAATATGCCAGATGTCGTCCACAGCGCGGTAAGTCGGACAGATATGTAGTTGATGCTCAAGGAACAGTAGACGTGGGGGATGCAGAGGATCCAGCGATTCTGGCAAGAGCTGCTTGCACTGCCAACCGCAATATGTTAGGAGACGGTCACAACGGACAAAGGTTCACGCGGTCAGCTGTACTAGTCTGCAGCTGTAGTGATCTCCAGTGCAGATATGTCGCACATATCGTTCAGGCTTAGATAGAAACACGCATGCTCAAAAATCAGGTCTACCGATCATCTCTACAACAGTAGACATCACAACTATTCTGACAGCCCCCACTACTCGGCACAGCTTGAACTCTAGAACTCTCGAGAATGACGAGCCTTTTGAGATTACACACGCCCTGTCGTATGCACAAAGTCGATTTTGGTTCCTTCACCACTATCTTGAAGACCGATCGGCCTTCAACATGGCAGTGATGTTCCAGCTAACCGGACCGTTGCGTATGGATGATCTCAGGAAGGCATTCCAATAGGTAGCTCAACGGCATGATATTCTGCGAATGCGTATTCTTCCCGACGAAGATGATATGCCTCTGCAGGGAGTTCTTTCCCGTCCCATGGTCCAAATGGAGATGATATCCGTGGCGCAGGACCAAGTGCAGGAGTTTTTTAAGCGCATGCATGAACATAAATGGGACTTGCACAGCTGGGAGTCCATGAAAGCCCGCATTTTATCCGTTTCGGATCCTGCACTATGTGGTCATAGGGGCCCATCATATCACCTTGGATGGATTCAGCTTTAGTATATTCTTCGTCGACCTGGAGGCTGCGTACAGCGGCAAAACCCAGATCCCAATGCCTCTGGAGTCTCAATACCGCTTATTCGCCGCTCAACAGCGAGAGAGACACGAGAGCGGACTCATGAACCAGCATGTTAAATTCCATCGCGTTTCCATCCCTAAAGATATTGAAGTGATCTTCTCATTCGCAAAGGCTACACGTCGGTCTCCGATGTTTCCATATAGCCTTCACGAAGTGCATGCATGGCTCGATTCAGCCAGGGATTCTCGGATCAAGCAGCTGGAGCGCAGTTGCCAGTTTACCACGTTCCATGTGTACTTGGCTGCTCTTCAGGCACGGATTTCCACATCCTTCCCCAGCTGAAAGACTTCTGCATTAGCATTGCAGATGCTAACCGTTTGGACCCGAAGTTCATGGGTACCATGGGATTCTTGCTGAATTCTCTTCCGGTCTACTTCCGTCGCAGCGAATGCGGTGTCCCATTCCGTGACATGGTAAAAGAGAGCAGGGGCAAAGTCTATCGGGTTCTCGAGCACTCGGAGCTGCCCTTCGATTTGCTGCTCAATGAGCTTCAACTTCCTCGATCAGCCGAGCACGCTCCTTTGTTCCAGGTGTTTGTGCGATACCGCCAGATTGTACAGGACCGGGCTACTTTGGTGAATATTTGGTCGGGGAGGAGCAATGGCGGAATGCCAAGACTGGTTACAATCTCCGGCTGGAAATCACCGAGAACCCAAATGGAGAAACGTTGCTGGTTCTGGGACTTCAAGATGCGCTTTATGAGCCCGGGGGCGCGCAAACTCTACTGGACGCTTACCTGGGGTTCTTAGATAAGGTGGAGTCCGTAATGACTCCGACTCCGTAAGAGGGTGAATATCGAGCCCAAGCTCCAGCTGTAAATAATTGATTTTGCTTCAAAGAGATACGCCGACTTCTACGAATTGCCTAGGTACCTACATGTAGGCACATATGTAAACATCGGATAGAGTTATACTGATCCACGGGAGTCACCTCGGCGGTTTAAGGCTATTTCAACGACATTCGTAAATGTATGATTTCAAATCCCACTTTTAGCTTGAGACTACCTATGTCACTCTACATAACAGATTTTCTCTGCCGGGTGGGGCTTTCTTATCTTAGCTGCAGCCGCTTTTGTGAGGGCGCTCAGAGTCAGGCTCACTGACTAGATTTCAGTTCGGGCTCAGGCTCACTGAGCTGCTCAGAGCTATCACGTGATAAATCAGTGAGGTCCAATGAGCGCTCAGTGAGTGCTTAGTGACTCTGATTGGCTGCTCTCTGATCACTCACTGATTACTCAGACACTGAGCAGAGGCATCTATTAAGTAAGCACTTAGTCCAAACTATCGGCACTGTGAGCTTCATCCGTGCCTCACCAACAGATCTCTGTGCAGAGGTCGACTTCACCGTAATCCTTCCGCCGTACCAGCGTACCCATGTGGCAACTCACGCTGTTGGAACTTGCTTTGCAGCTTGCTTTGGATTCTCCGGAGCAGGGTGGGCTTGGGTTGTGCCAAGTTCATCGGTCGGCGAACTCGACAAATCTTGCTAGTGTTAGACTTGCTGAGCGGATGGGATTTGTGCAGGTTGGGATAATTCCTTGGCATATGCGGTTTCTGAGGGCAAGGTTAATAGGAAGATTGGAATGGGAAGGCGCTTCCTCCTGGAAGTGACCCTGAGGATCTGTGGAGGGATACATTGAGTTTTAGTTTGGGGTGGGATATGTGGATAGATGGTGGTAGAGAGAGGATTGAGATGGCCATGGCTCAATAGACGAAACAGAGATTATTAGATGAAGGTGGAAAAAGACAGGCATCGTGGAATCTATAACAACAAATACTATAGCGACCCACCCCGTGAATAAAACCAAGCCTTAGTCTCATCAATACCGATTTTCGTAACAAGTAACATCCTCCCAAATAAATCGACGTCATCAGGCTTCGCATCCTGAAGCAGACCCGAAAAGTCCGCGTTATAAACGATAAAATGCAGATTCTCGGTCCAGGCAACTGCAAAATCAAACGCACTCTGCGCGTTCCACAAATGCGCAGATTGATACCACGCAAGTTCAAGTCCTAGCTTTCCATCACAGACTGGTGCAGGTCTACCTTGCACGAAGTTATGTATAGACACAAAATAGAACACCATCATCACAGTGCGTCGAGCTGATTCTTGGAAGATCCATGAGTTCCAAAAATTCATTACCGGGTCCATGGATATGGGAAGTAATTCCAATGTTTCTGATGGGTGCGGTAGATGGATACAGCTTAGGAGAGACTGTACAGATGTTTCTAATACATCGAATAGGCATTGCGACGATGGTTGGGATCGTGTGTTTCCGTCAAATAGACGCATTATTAGGTATAGGATAAGGGCGTGGATTCGAGCGAGGAGCTCTAGAGGCTTTGTAGGTTGTGACGATGATAAGAGATCATTTATTCGGGAGTCGAATATTGACATAAGCACTGGTGCGTTTATTTCGTTCTTGGTCATGTAGAGAGAACAACAGGTAAATGCATCTATAAGTTATTAGATGTGTGCCTTCGTAGACAGTCAGTTTATAGTGATACTGACCTTGCATCTCTTTTGGCATATTATTTTTATAAAGCTGGCGATGACACCATGGGGCTTGTGTCTCCGTAACCATCATTTTGGGAATATCTTTGAGCACATCAACCGCAAATTGAATGCGGCTGGCAAAGACACCAGACAGGGGCTTTGGTGGGTTCGTTCGTGGCATAGCCAGTTCAAATCCATTCAATGGTGGATAGTGTTCGTACAAATCGACGCGTTGATCTGGAGGGAGTATAGTGATATAACGAAATGGCGAATGGACCACGACCGGATGGAGTGGACCAATGTTGATCGCCGCCATAAGATCGGCATCAGAGGGGTACAGAGCCGTAGTATCATCAAAAGATTCATAATTATCCACGATGGGAGTGGTATCCATTATCTCAGAGTAAGACTGGGGCAGTCTGCCGGGGTACATGCATGGGATATTCCTTTGCATACACCTCGAGCATGCTGGAACTGCCAAGTCGCAGCGCCGCTTGGCTATTTTGCATGCCTCGCAGGACTTCCGCCGCGGAGGAGCTTTGGTCTCTGTATTCAGTAGCATGGTGAAAACAACGGAATGATAACTGACAGAAAAGTCGCAGGAGAAATGTTCCAGTGGGTCGCAGCGGAATTCCGCACACTAGTCAAATGAGGTTGTGGCACACCAATCAGAAGTCGGCCGGGGTTAGTGTTGACAGCGGAGGTAGTGGAGTTCCGCCATGTGTAGAAATAGAAACAGTCAGTATTGAACGCCACTGGAATGCTATATAAGGCATGCGATATCTGCAGATTTAAAAGTATTCTACAGCCATTCATACTTTTTTCATCAAATTCTCATTGACTCGAAATGTCTCCTCCAACCGTCTTCGTCTGTGGTGCCACTGGCACTCAAGGAGGTGCTCTCATCGACCATTTACTCAAGTCTGACGTCAAAGTCCACGCCGTTACCCGTTCACTGAACTCTCCTGCTGCTCAAAGCCTCCAAAATCTCGGTGTAGCAGTCTCGGAGGGCGATTTCGACAACGACGAATCCGTCAAACAAAACATGACGAACTGCACCAGCCTCTTTCTCAACATGATGCCCGCACTCGGAGACCTCAACACAAGCCTTGAGCAAGCCCGCCGACTCCTCAAGATTGCCAAAGAATTAGGCATCAAACAAGTCATCTACACCAGCGGCGTGTCCGCCAACAATCCTTCGCACAACAAACACTGGGATCCCAACAGCATCATCAGCCAGATGATGCTCAACAAACAAGCAATCGAAAACGAAATCCGCAACGTAGGATTTGAAAGTTGGACTATTCTACGACCAGGCAATTTTATGACCAACTTCCTCTTCCCAATGAACCAAATGTACCCCGGGTTGGCAGCGAACGGGGCATTTACTACAGCCCTCACGCCAGATACACTGCTGCCCATGGTTGATCCCAATGATATCGGCCGATTTGCTGCTGCGGCAATTCTTGATCCTCTCAAGTTCAATCACCAGGAGATCGAGATCGCTTCGGAATTCATGGGGGCGGAGGAGATTATGCGAGCCTTGTCGCGTGCGACTGGAAGGGCTTTCAAGGCCGTATTCATGTCTGACAAAGAGATAGATAAGCAGAGAGCTGTTAATCCTTTCATTGCAGGTCAGCTCATGATGCGCGATATGTCCTCGTTTGTGGATTTGGAGAAGGTGAAGGCGTGGGGTCTTCCTCTTGGGACTTTTGATCAGTTCTTGGTGCGTGAAAAAGCTAGAGTTGATACAAGCTACCCATGAGAACCAAAGTACCTCATGGAGAAAAGTTGAGGAAATGGAGGTTCAAAGGCGAGAGGACATCAGAAATCTCTGGAATAGCGCTTCGTTTCATTGGATATAATTTGATGTCGTCCATCCATTGAGTAGACAATTCTGTAATGCTAAATACCATTCGCAATCTTTCAATACTCTAAAGATCCATGGATCAATTAAATAATCAAATAATCATGTTGTCGCTCTGATTCCGTACGAGTCTGAAAGAGTCAGTCTTAAGGAAACATCCAAGTATATCAAATAACTCACAAACGACAACCAAGAGACATTGCGATTATCATCCTTCGCCTGTTTCCCACGCGCATCCCAAACAGACTGAAGCAAAGAAAGCGGAGCCAGATGTCCAAATCCTGCTCTAGCCTTGATATGTTCGAATCGTAGAAGAACATAGTGACGAGCATAGGAGGATAACGCATCAGTCCCGGCCATGAATAAAGGCATGACTAGCAACTCCATAAGATGACAGACCGTGGGATTTCAGCAATAGCATCTAAGATAGCCGTTACAGATATTTGTATAATTGTCGCTTCGGCTCGTACGCATCTAACAAGCGGGATGTGTGCAGTATTCAAGCGTGTCGGAATGCTTCGGCGACTGCCGGCCAGCGTGAATGGTAGTTTGGATATACGCCCGGTAAAAGACGCCACGTGAAGCGGCCATACCGGGCGGCAATGAGAACTCGCTCGTATTGGGGGGTGTCCGTCCATATGGCCTATTTCATGGGCTTTTGCGTGTCCCAGAACAGTTCCTATTGTCAGGAATAGTTCGCGAGGACACCCATTGACTTGCTCGAATTTAAGATCACTTAGATTGACGATTATTTCTCGGAGGGCAGGAGAGAAGCACAGCTTTTGCGGGTCTGCGAGGGACCTGATTATGTCCAACCTATATCTTACATTAAGCTTTTGAATGGAATACAGAGGCTGAACTTGAGGACTTGCCATGCCAGATTTCCAAGGAAGAATATTTCGTTCATGACCCTCGGTCAAGATATCGGATAAGCGTAGCTGGTTGCGGATTGATAAAGCACCCGTAATGTGGATTCCGTGAGTAGAGATGCCCGTTTCGAAGATCTTCGTTCGCGTCAACCATCTGGTTTTCAATGTAAAAATTTCAAACAGTTGACTCGCATCTTGCAGCAATAGGACCTGAATGGTAGCAAAGATTCCATCACGTTCATTTTCACCTAACTCCCCAGAAATATCATTTTGTAGCGTTTCGCTAAGGCAACGAATAGCTCTGGCTTGATACTCGACTGCTAAAGTATCTCGCGGATAAGCATCATCTTTCTTAATCCCAATATGGCACGCCGTAAGCCCGAGAACTGCATATAGAGGACCAATTTGCTCATATGCTAGCGGTAAGATATAGAGTCTATATGGGTTGCCTGCGTCGTCAGCTGGGAGCGCAATCTGATGCGGACAAATCTCCCGATCGTCTAAATGATCTTAGATCAGCGAGATATAAATGAGGATCGAAGAAATTCAACTCACAATGCGACAATAAAAGCTCCGTTCGTTCTAGCATTAATAAATCATCCAACTCCACAGTTCGTCCTCGATGTGGCATTGGATGATCCGCAATTGAGCAGGACAATTCAAGATCTGGATTGACTAGTGTAGCGAAGACCTTGTGTGGGTGTTGAGTTACTGTCTGACTCTTGGAGGATCATCTGCAGGTTGACTCTGAGGACATTGCGGCCCACAGTAGGAAATGCCCGACCTTTCCACTTCCCCCGGGTGGCCAGCCCCGCAAAACGAAACTTCTCAGGATATTCTTTGCATTCGAGACTCTTGGAGATCATCGTTAATAGGCGGGTTGTGCACGGTCGCATTTGCGACACTTTTCACGGCATGTTATACAAGCCGGGCCTGGTATTGTTAGAGCGGAGTTTCTCGGAATCAAATTCCACCTCTCGAGGGCATGTCCTCGTTTTTTTGAAGTTAATGCTGAGTTGCAATTGATTATTTGTGAGATATGAGTGAAGTAGAGGAAGGCCGTTGGATGATGTTTGAGATTCTGTAAGGATCGCATGGTTTCTATTGGATAGTACTAGTTAGGCCATAACTATAGTTCACTAGTCAACGTATTTCACTACCCAGTCTTTGTATGTCGGTCCCGGGAAAACCACCATGACCAACAGCACCAAAATTCACTGTCAACTGCCTCACCAGTACCGCGCTGAAGGTCATAAGGCTTCATTGCCCTAATCATCCCGACGGCCAAGCTCAGCCGCTGCAAATAATAGAGATATGTGTGATACTTGAGTAGTTTCATGGGGTGAGTAGTCATTCCAGAATAATATGAGTCTGGCTGGCGGCAAATTGGCGTGCTCAGTTTAACTCAGTGAGCAAAAAGCGGCAAGGCCGGAGCACCAAACGGAAGGGGAACGCCCAGAAGTGGCAGAGGAAATCCGATAGGTAGGTAGATCCGTATTTATGTGCTAAGGTAAGTAGTGGAAAGTTAATTGAACGAATATTTGCATGCGAAAGGGAAAAAAATAGAAAAAGATCAGACACATACTCCGTACAATATAGACAAAACCCGCAACAATTCGACTCGCTTGCTGGAAAGACACCCAAATGCAGCAGAAACAGAAAGCTGCTATGCAACCCCCCCAAGCAATATGAATAAGAAATTAAGGTAATTATCATAGTAGTTCCTTGTATGAACAAAAGCCAAATTCAGGTCTCAGATAGACTGACTGGTCTAGCTTGCCACAGCCAGCTGGGCGACGAGATCAGACGCCACATCAAGGAAGGGGTAAGGGCTGGTCACCTCCTTCTCCTTGTTCCTGAGGCGTTTGCTGATGGGATGCCATTCGGTATCACCCTCGGTGCGAATCACATTCTGGTAGCCATCGCATTTGAAGTCAACCATGTAGTTGTTTTCTTCGAGTTGGTAAAGCTGGATGTCAAGGAAGACCCAGACACCGTAGGTGATGTGCGGGAGTCCGCTTGGAACATTGACTGAGGAGGCGCCGCTCGTGAGAGCGCTGTCGGGCACGGAGGACTGGGTCTCTCTGCTCCTGTCTTCTGTTGGCGCAGAGATCCCCGAAATGTTGAAGCGGCGACGCAGTTCTTCGAGGTCGCTGCGGCTATTGTAAACACTGGTGGATGCCCCGGGAGCCTTGATGCCTTCTTTCAGCAGGCGTGCACGGATAAACCAGGGGTCCTTCGGAATGTAGTAGTCGGATGGGAGGTCGGGGTATTTGCTCTGCAAGGGTTTGGGCTTATCAGGGGAGGGGGTCGCATCGGGGCCGATATTGGTGCCTAGAGGATGTAAGAATAAGCTCAAAATGGATGATGAGCGGAAGCATACCTGATTCCACGGGTTGAATATCCCACAATCCACCCTGAGCAGCAATTGCGCGGTACAGATACAACATGGCCTCATATGGCTGGTTTCGAGATCGAATACCGAACTGCCATTTGCGGCTCCGCTTTGGCTGTTTTTCAGGGGTTTGACCAGTTGGCGGCTCAAACCGCAATTTGTCCAAGTCGACGACACTGCGTGCGTGGGGCTTCAATGCACGGGCTGTGGCAGCCTGTTCCTCGGGAGACATGTCCCGATAGGCAGATCCATGTCCCTCTGGGTCAAGGTGAGCAGCTTCTTGGCGACGCTGCTCGAGCATTTCGTTGCGAGCTCTTTTATCTCGATCACGTTGTTCCATGAGTTGGTCGTGAACATATGGTAAGCTAGTAGGGAGGATCCGAACGTGGCTAACGCGGGGTTCTTCCTCAGATTCTGGTTGCTGTGGATCTTCCGAGGCCCTGCGGAGCGATGCACTAGCGGTCCGGTTCATGGTTGGGGCAGGGGACCCTTGGTGACGAGGCGCAGGAGTCCGGTCCGTAGCTGAAGGAGCAGCTCCTTTCTGGACGTTTTGAGCTAACAAATTATCTTCCGTGGGTGCTATTATCGTTAGCAGATAGGTAGATTAATTAAGACGTCCAGATCTTACAGTTGGTTTGCATCATCTCATTCTCAACGACGATGGAGAAGGCATCCTTGATAGCGCTGGGTTCGGGATGTCTCAATGCCTCTTCGATATCCTCTCGGCCATATCCCATGCTTCGTTCAAGTTTGGAAACTGCAATTCGATGAATTTTGTGCTGGACTGGGGGAGGCCTTGCCATGTCAAGCTTTGCAGAATCAACCTTCTTCGAGTCGGCCCCCGGGGCGATGAACTCCTCTCGTGGCGGTTCCAGGTACTGGGGGAGATTTTTGGTGAACCATGGGTCCAATCTGATCTCGGGGATTGTAATGCGGTGGACGGGGTGAACTTGTAGCATTGCCCGGATCAAACGAGCTGCCCCGGATGAAATATATCCGGGTATGTGGAAGGTGCCCGCTGCGATCTTCTTGAAAAGGGCTGGAATGTAGTCATCGTCGAAAGGCAATCGGCCCACCAACAACACGTATAGAATAACACCACAACTCCACACATCGACCTCGGGCCCGGCGTAGAGCTTTCCGGAGATGACCTCTGGAGCAGCGTAGTTCGGGCTACCGCAGCTGGTCTTGAGGAAGTTGCCATCCGTCATAATATTACTCAAACCGAAATCCGCAATCTTAACGTTCTTCTGGTTGTCGATAAGGAGGTTCTCAGGCTTCAAGTCACGGTGTACAATCTTGTGTCGATGGCAGTATTCCACAGCACAAATGATCTGCTGGAAGAATTTCCGGGCTTCGTCGTCACCGCACCTTCCCTTCCTCACGAGATAATCGAACAACTCTCGCTCTGCATACTCCAGCACCATCACAATATCGGACTTGGTCGCAATCACCGTATACCTAAAACACAATTGGTCAGCCAACTGAAATTTCAATTGGATTTTGGATCGAAAGTGTACAATTTAATAATGTGAGGATGTCGTAGCAACTGCAAGTACTGGATTTCTCGCTCCACACGCCCAACCATGTCCCGGGAGAGAAGTTTGCGTCGTGAGATGATCTTCAGAGCAACTTGACGTCCACTTGGCTGGTGAATAGCAAGCTTTACCTTACCAAAGGAACCTTCGCCCAAGACCCTTATAGTCTGGTATTGGTCGAGGCGTTGCATGTCTCGGGTAGTCGACGGTGACTGCAATGGGTCCTCGATCTTGCCGGTCGGCCTCGAGGGCGGGGGCATGGCCATGGCGGAAGTGTTGGCGGGAGGCCTAGCACGTTCACGCGGACGATCACGGTCGGAAGGGAGTGGGATAGCGAGGTCTTCCTCGTCGAATGCAGCGGCCATGGTCGGGAAGAATGACAACGTGACGTGATTGATTTTCCAGACGGTTCAGCGGTCCGACGGGGCTGCTGACTGTGCAGACCGTGGTTAATACTCGGCTTTTTTCCCTTATTTTTTCTCTCAAAACATCTGCCCAGGCGCCAATCAGTTGATCAGTCTCAACGCTCCCCACAGCAGAACCGAAGGTGGAGCTGGCAGCTGTTTGTCGGTGGGGGATGGAGGGGTAAATTTTGCCAGGGGGTTGAAAGAAATGAAGAAACCAAGACTGGAAGAGGTTGAGCGATCATCAATAATAAATGGGAAGATCACCTGGGCAAGATCTGGGATAGCCAAGATTTTCAATCTCCCGAGGATTTGGGGAGACATCGATCAGGTGGAGGGAGTTCTAGACCTTACCTAAGCTGATTCTTCCTCCAGGGCTGGGGCACATCACGATAACTTACTACGGGTGTGCCATAATATGTTGTGTGTCGCGAAAGAGCTTGTTATCACAGATAATATAACACATAGGAGTCTATAATCATCATACGTATATCTTTTCAATTACTATAATATCTGGACCTTCACCTTGACATCCTATATCAGCCCTTTGTCGGTCAATATGGCAGAATATCCTTTATATCAGATTATAGCAGCCCTAAATGCAGTGCATCTTATCCCAGATCAAAGGTTGGTCTGTGTTATGACTAGTACGCTATAGCTAGAGCTAGCAAATAAAGCTTTTCGTTTCTTTTTAAAAAGAATTTTTGCCGAAGCTCCGAGAAAAGCTGTGTCATACGCAGTGGGTCAACAAGACCCTTAAAAGACTGTGGCTTAAAGTCAATTGATTGAGATTGTTCATCATTTTCACATTGCCGAGATAGAATAATGAATTTTACTTACTTCCTTGAATCCTCACCCGACTACATATGTTGGGTTTATAGATATAACCTGCCGGCTAATATCCATATGCCTCAGTACAAATCCAGCCGGGCTATGCAACACAGCCTCGGAACCTCGAGCAATTTGGAAAGATATATTTCTCTACAACATGCAACATACATCATTGAGAGTGGACCTTTTGGAAATAATGTACATCATTCAACATTACATATATATACAAGAATTTACACTATAAAGAGACCAAGACATGCCCAGGTGGAATTTTCTTCCACTAAAAGAGACTTTTCAGGTACCTATGTTTCCCTAGTAAATTGTATGTCTGGGGACGTACCCCAGGGGTATATGCGTTGAGTCATACTGCGGCTTAGAGCGATCAAGCGGGGTGTCGGGGTCCCAAAGTGGATTAGCGTCAAGTCGGGGACCCCGAAGAGGAATGGCGGACTAAGAGACACGAGTATACATTAGATCAAGGCTGCCTCAGGTCTTGAGTTCTTTACCTTCCCCGGAAGCCACAGCTATTGTCCTTTCTTCTTCACGACCTCCTCGATATCTTAGTCTCCTACTGCCTCAGGATTCTATTGGCCCAACCAAACGGCCCTCTCTCTTTGACTTTTGTTCCTCATTTTCCTCTTTTAATACAAAATAGATACCCCCAGTGATACCCACTCTACGTTTTCTTTTCCAATGGCTTTTGTTGCGGACGAATTCTTTTCTGGGATGGATGTGACAACCTCCAATGAATGGGTTGACTTCGATCAATTCCTCGATCTCCCTTCAGGCTACGACGACCAGTCGACCGCCACTACCGTCTCACCTCAGGACCTAGCTCTGCCTTACGAGGCAGATGGGATCTTCACCTCTCCGTCTGATTTCATGCAATCCTCCTTCGACATGACCAGCTATGATCTCCCACAAGAAGACTTCATGGGAATGGATGGAGGTTCTATGCCGGACCCGGCTGCTCCTTTGTTTGATGATGCTGCGTTCTTGGGGTACAACCCATACGACAGCAGCAACACATTCCGGAACCTAGTTGAGGCGCAGGCCGCCGCTGACCCCCGCGTTGCTACTATCAAGGAGAAGCGCCGCGAGGCAGCCATTGCGCTGCACCTGCAGCGCCTTTGTGATGCCACTGCTCTTGACTTAGATATGTCCTCGGACTCCAACACCAGTTTCTCGTCCCCGAGCTGGTCAGAATACGTTCGCGGGAGCAGCTCTCCGCACCCTAGCCCAGAGCATGCATCTGTCTCTGAGGCACCTCCTCCGGGAGGCATGGAGATGGTTCTCGACTTGAACATGAACGCCGCTGCCAATGTGCCTAAGAAGCAGAAGCCTCGCTCTCAGGCACAGAAGGAGAACTACATTAAGGCACGGAAGTACGGTGCTTGTGAGAAGCACAAGAAGCAGCACAAGCGAGTAAGTTTTCCATTCGCATTTGATATTTGAGCACGCTAACAGTCGAGCAGTGCAACTGCCTGGAGAAGGCTGCTGCTCGTGCCAGTGCCAGCGATGTTCCGATGAACGCCGCATTCCAGGAAAGGCCGAGGCAGCCAATGCTCCAAGTGCCGATCCCAGAGGCGCGCTACTCTGACTCGCCGGGTCACGACACATCATTCAACCTACCTCAAGCGCTTCCAACCATCAAGGCGACCAGGAAACTAGCAAGCAGCTTATCTAGAATCGAGCCATCCGTGGGACTGCCTGTTGCGGGACCAATCGCCAAGCAAATTGTCAGGACGAAAATTCAAAAGAGTACGCCGTCGGGACACGATATTGTTTCGCTATCTGGCAAGAATATCGCGAACAGCTCATCCTTGGGTGAGGAGAGACAAGAGAGGATCTCAAGGAACACAGGAAGTGGACAACCCCACGATCCCTGCAGTTCAGGTACACCTCGGCCGGTTCATGTGGCTGGGGTGCCATCTGGCAGCTCCAGCTTGCGCTGGCGTGTTTCGACCTCGTCGGTTGGTGTTGTATGTTCAGAGAAGTCTGACGTCAAGACGACATCCTCGACGAACCATGCAACTGCTGGCGTTCGTCGCACTCCAGGTCTGGATGTACACCGAACGAGGCCCACCCGCACGGTGGAAAGATCCGCGGTGCCAGGTACTGTTGCTGGCAACCTTGGAATGCGCCATTCCGCATCGCTCGTGCAAAACTCTGGAATCCAGGTACCTGGACCGGATCACAGGAGAATTTCAGAGGGGCTTGCCAAGCAACTCGCAATACTCTCTGGCCTGCAGTCCGTGCCGAAGGATCTACTGGTCTCGCCGGCTCGGCGTGGATCACCAGGTCTCTCTGGAAACGGATCACCGGATCACTTCGAGTGTCGGCCACTGCTCATCAGTGGAAAGGGTCTCCTTGCTCGGCCAGTTGCTGAAAGTGTCGGTTGCCTGCTTTCCAATACTGCCTTGGCATTTGCTGGTGCCTGGCAATCATCGCTGTCTCTGGCCTCTGGGTTTGAGGGCATGGTCTACAAATGTCTGTCTCTGTTTGGCCGGCATGTTGTGTCTGCGAAGGGCTTACGTCTGGGCGGACTGCGGAAAGCTTGGTGTCTATGACTGACCCGCTGTTCTTGGATGAACTGGATCGCACTCGGCACTGGATGAATCAGCTTGATAATTGGCCGAGCTGGCTTTGAACTATACTTAATTGTAAAGGGCATACAGAGATGACATCTACATATTGTCACATGTGAACCCGAACGATGAAAACAAGAACAATTCATTTGCATTTAATATCCACCAAGCGCTGTATCTTCAGAGGAATAATCTAGGAGCGAGTACCACTATAACTACGTAGCTTCAACAGCAGCAACCAATGTTGTGAAGATACGGGCGCCTTTACAAAGACCGAAGGTATCCATGAATGTTAATATGCACATACATATGTAGATACCTGGGGTTGGGCATTCATACACAATCAAAGGCAGTTCAAATCATGCATGTCCAATAATTATACTCCGGTACTATCGAGGTTATTTCTATTTGAGTCTTCGAGCCGAATCTTCTAAGAATGACCTGAATAGTGAACAATCCTGATTTGAATTCAGCTTGCATGTCCCCACCACCTCAGCCCTAAACCTCCCTAATCCCGCGCCAACCCCTTTTCCCTTGTTCTCCTACGGTTGAAACCAACCCTCGTACATCGCTTGAACTTCGAAACTATGAACTCCCCGCCCTTTTTACGCTTCACTACAGTGACAGGATATTTTCACCAGGATGACCCCGCCACTGACCCCGACTCCTTCGACTACGTAAGAGACCCCAATATCCTTAACAAAGAAATCCAACCAGTCTGACAATATGAAAAGGTGAAATCAAACTTCGGACTCATCGAAAAACAGTACGACGAGCACCTCGGAGTGGAACAGATTGACAGCCAGTGGCGGCGTTTCGACGCCCACATTAAACGTCTGAACGCCAGCGACACTAAAAAGCTCAAAGTTCTCTTTCTTGGACGCCATGGTGAGGGCATCCACAACGTCGCCGAGCGCAAGTATGGCACCAAGAAGTGGGATGTAAGTGGTTGAGCATTTTCTCTATGAACCAGACACTAATCAGATCTCTAGGATTACTGGTCTCTCCAAGACGGAGATGAGGACGGCATCTGGGTTGACGCCCGTCTTACTGACCAAGGCAGATGTCAGGCACGAGTCGCACATGCAGCTTGGGAGCAGCAGATCGAGGCTGGCATCCCATCACCCGAATCCTACTACGTGAGCCCCCTGAACCGGTGCCTTGAGACGGCGCAGATTACGTTTCAGGGACTTGGGATCCCCGGCGCGGATCCTTTTAGGCCGACCATTAAAGAGGTACGCTCGGTTTCTATTGTAGAACGTATAGATATCTAACCCGACTAGCTCCTCCGTGAGACAATGGGTCAGCACACCTGTGACCGTCGCTCAACGGCTTCGGAAATCGCAGAAGAGTACCCGGAGTACCGGTTTGAAGCAGAATTCCCTGAGGAAGACAAGTTGTGGGATCCTGAGGTCCGCGAGTCGAACGAGCATCGCAATGATCGGCTTCGCGCTCTTTTGAACGATATATTTGCCCATGACGAGAGTACGTACATTTCGTTAACGGCTCACTCAGGAGCCATCACTAGCACTTTGGAAGTTTTGGGCCATCGCCGCTTTCCCTTGGTGACTGGTGCAGTGATCCCTGTGCTCGTTTCGGTGGAAAAGGGGGCCCCGTCGCAGCCAGAGTCGCAGTCATCGTAGAGCCCGCATGATTCGGAGGTCAATTTCGAGGTTGCAAGATGTTTATAACTGACATGGCTGCTGGTTTTGGTAAATATTAAGAGAACAGCCGTGGTTTGATATCCAAGAAATTGATTCAGTATTGTACATGAGTCGCTCTTACTCAAGAAAGATGAGAGCGACTTCTCACAAATGCAATTGTTGCCTCCAATCGGCTAATGAAAAACCACTGTCCACGCGAAAGATCTAGATATAAATAATACAAACGCCAAAGCATCAATCACCAACTGTAGTACTGGTTCTGCGCAGAGATCTTGCGATCCGGCAGTTGTGTCCAGAGCTGAGACCTGCGCTCCCGCTGGGCCTTGGCCTCACGGTCCTCCCACTCGCGGATACGAGTCCTCTCTTCCTTCAACAGGACAGAAAGACTTGTGGTAGGGGGACGCATGCGGTTGATCTGACCACGGGCACGGTGATCCATCTCATATCCATAGGGACCACGGTTGACCCAGGCCTGCTGAATGTAGATGTCGGTGGGGTTGGCAATCTTCTGCCGCTCGCCAGTCTTGAGTATGACAGTAATGGGTTTCGATGGTTCGGAGTTAGAGGCCCCAAGGCCCATGCCGGCACGGACAATGGCGACGTTCTTTGCGTGTTCCAGATGTTCCAGCACGTCTTTGGCGGCCTTTTTGTTGCTGAAGCGCATCTGGAGGATGGCTTCGTCGATATTCTTGCCGGCGATTTGGCGGGCCAGAGGACCCAGTTTCTTCAGCGACGTCTTGAACCAATGGGATTTCGAAAGTGATTCGCGCTCTGTGCGCTTAATTTGCACCTTAGTCGGTACACGGCCTCGTTTCCGGATCTCGCGGACAGCCATCTTCCTCTCCCATCGCAGCTGGGCCTTGGGGTCGGGTCCCAGTCCCACTTGCAGGCGACTCAGGTCGCGGTCCTCCAGCTTTCCGGAGACGGTTTCCTTTTCCTTTTGTTGTTCCCCAGTTGGCCGGGATGGCATGGGACCGGATGTTGGTGCGGTGAAGTCGGATCCGAAGATGGAGGATCCCAAACCACCTTCTTCCTTCTTAGGGGCCGAGGGTCGGTGGGCGACTTTAGGTTTCTGGCTGGATCCTCCCGTGAACATGTTCTTCAAGGAAGAAAACAAAGCGGCCGGCTTTTTGCTTTCGGCATCGTTCAAAGCGTAACGGACGGTCGTCGAGGTCAATGTTCGGCGAGGGACGAAGGAGACGGTCCGGGCAGCTAAAGGTGGGAAATAAGTCAGTATGGAGGCCAAGCATAAAACATATGAATATAACATACCTGTCCGGACCAATTGCCCTGAGCGATAGACCATTGTGGCTGTTGGGATGTTGTTGTCAGAAGTTCACGTCGGGAAAAAAGGTGAAAGTTCCCTGCACTTGTGGTCTGTGCGGGATACCGGAGCCTGAGGCACCTTGAAGTTGATCGATCAGAATAGCTTCAAGAGATGCGACTTGCGACTGCACGAGCCGATAGAGCAGGAAACAAGTTTATCTACAGACGGAGATGATATAGCATATTTGATGATCATACTCGCATCTCGTTCTCGCGACATAATTGTTTCCTCTTCTCACCCATCTCCACAGTATCCACTAGCCCTCATCTTTCCCTCTTTCAGTTCTTCTCTCTCTTTTTCGTCTTCCTTCATCCCTCCCTTCCCTTCCCAGGCCATCAGCCTCTCCTTTCTATCCTTCTCGAATACCTGGGATCTCTGAGATTTCAGCTTGCCCTCTCGATTAAAGGGCTCTCGTTCCTTTCAGGCATTCCTTTAGATTCTTAGCTACCCGCCAGAAGCAGCTGCGCAAGTGTAAATCTACGTCATTTGCAGGAACAACAACGAGGGTGGATCTGTATACGACCGGCCGATGCAGGAATGGACGTGCTGAGGTACATCAAGTCTGTCGTATGATCTGGATCTCTGCTTGAAAAGCACTTGGGCATCCATTACGACATTTCCCGGTATCCCATCGTTCTTGCCAAAGCTGTATCCAAACATGGACATCAATTCGCTTCTTTCACCGGACTCGAATCCCAAGTCTGGAAATTCAACCCCTGCCTCTGGTCCTACGTCGAACGCCGCACCGGCCACCTCTGGGCCCTCCCCCCACAAAGCTATTGAGAGAACTCGGACAGGCTCCAGACGAAAGGGCAAGACTTCTTCGCCTCTCGCACAGCAGGTGTACGCTCCTACTGGAGAATCTTCGCCAGGACCCAGCGGACGAAATGGGACTTCTCCAACTGAAGCACCCTCAAGACAACCATCCACGCCGGGAATGGACACACTGGCGGATCTCGCCTCGATGCAACACCACCAACCACAACGTCCAACACAGACAAGCATGCTCCGGAGTACTGAATCCTATGAGCACCAGTTATCTCCGTCTACTATTCACCCACACGTCAATTCTATAACCCACAACACCCCTACCTCCCGGATGTCGTTCGAGATCGCCATGTCGGATGGGCGCGACGGGCCCGCGAAGAGGACCTACGCTGCGACTTCGCTTGACCCGGATGCGCAACGGTTGGCGACCGAACTTTTTGATCAAATCTCGCTCAACCCCCACACGCATGACGCGCACGTGCGATTTATCGGATTGCTGCATGCAGGATTTGTCAACCACGTCTACCCACCGAACAACCCAGATGTCCACGGTGACCCGCGACGCTATGATCTGCTCAACGATTTGAAAACGGCACGTGAAGAAATGGACAAGCTTTTTGCCATGGGAGAAGATCTTTGGGCCGAATGGATTCAGGATGAGAGTATGTTAGCTCAAGATGTTGACGGGCGCATTGCTGTTCTAGAACTCTGCCAGCGATCCGTCGAAGAGGAGTTTGGCAGCACAAAATTGTGGAATATCTACGGCGAATGGGTTCTTTACCTCTACAATTCCGCTCATGGCGAATCCAGTTCTCTTCAGTGGACCGAAGAGGATCGCATGGTTGGGCGCGAGGTGTTCACATGGGATTCGGTCGTGGAGGTGTGGCAGCGGGGCGCAGACGCCACCAAATGGAGAATCAACAACAGCCACTTGGTCTGGGATCGCCTTTTAGATCTCTATGCTCAGGACATTGCTCGCGCGCCTTCCCAAGAAAAGATCAACCATCTTCATGGACTTTACGGCCATCGTCTGCAAACTCCCCACGCCACCTGGGACCAGACCTTCCAAAAGTTCTCGAGTTTCATTTCAACATATTGCAATAGCAAGTATGAGGACATCATGTCTGAGACTGTTGCCCGCGCAGCTGAACCAAAGGCTCTCTACAACGCACGAGAGGAGTTCGAACACCGCCTGGCCAAAGCGCAAGAGTCTGGCGATCGCACTCTCGAATGGACAGTCTACTCCGAGTACATTGATTGGGAATTGACGCGCAACCGGCGGAAACGAGGAGAGTTCAGCTTTGACTTGGTGAATGCCATCTATCAGCGCGCCGTTCTTCACTTCCCCACCGATGTGTCGCTTTGGGAAGATTATGTCATGTTTTTAATCGGCGAATCTCTTCATCGCCGCGCCTCGACCACGACAATCTCTACGCTAGACCGTGCCACGCGTCATTGTCCGTGGTCTGGAAACCTATGGTCCCAGTATCTGCTAAGCTCGGAAAGAGAGAACCAGTCGTTCAACAAGATTTCGAGTATCAAGCATAAGGCGACTAGCACTGGACTGCTTGATGCTGGTGGTTTGGAGGAAGTCTTGAAGGTCCACGTCACCTGGTGCAGTTACCTTCGCCGACGCGCCTTCTTGTCTGACTCGACCGACGAAGATCTTGACGTCGCAGAAGTCGGCATTCGCTCGGCAATCGAAAGCGTGCAAGAACTGGGCGAAAAGAAGTACGGCCCGGCATATCAGGGTGATCCTCTTTTCCGTCTGGAGCGGATTTATATCCGTTTCCTCAGCGAAAGCGGCAGCTGGGACAGCGCACGAGAGACCTTCAAGGGCTTAGTGGCTCGCCGTGGCAGTAGCTATGAATTCTGGCTGGCCTACTACGAATGGGAGTTGATCTGCTGGAGCAAATTTGTTCAAGGCGAGGCAACAGTGGACGCAGCGCGCCGAACCCCCAACCCGAGCTTTGCTACTGCCGTGCTGAAACAAGCGATCAAGAGAACAGATCTAGACTGGCCTGAGAAGATTGTTCAGACATACGTTACACATTGCGAGGACTATGAGGACTCAGATGAGCTCCAGTTGGCCGTGATTGAAACTCGGAAAGCAATGCGAGCTGTCACTGCCCGGAGAGAGAGGGAAGCGCGAGAGGCAGCCGCATCACAGCAACAGCAGCAACAACAACAGCAACAACAGCAGTGGGAGGCCACAGTGGAGGCAGTCCCTTCGCCCGAAAAGAGAAAACGCGAAGACGAAAAGGACGAGATGCCAGAAACCAAAAAGGTTCGCAACGAAGAGGCACCGGCGGAGGCTCCCGCTCCTCCTCCACGGGATCGAGAGAATGCGACTGTCATCGTCAAGAATTTGCCCAAGGGTACTACTGAGCATCAGGTTCGCCAATTTTTCCGTCATGTAAGTACCTCATGCCTATTACTATCGGGACAACTTGGCTGACCAAACAGATCGGTGCCGTCAACACTGTCAAAATGCTCAGTAGAGACGAGAAAAGCTCTGAGGTCGCGGTCATCGAGTTCGAGACCAAGGAAGAGGCTCTTTCCGCTCTCACTCGTGACCAAAAGCGCTTCAACAACACTGATAACATCATCGACGTGCATATTGGGGCACAGACGACGGTTTGGATCACCAATTACCCGCCGACTGCGGATGAGGACTACTTCCGCAACCTTTTCAGCAAGGTAGGTGTTTCGCCCTGGACCCTGTAACATCGCTGACTTTAGCAGTATGGCGAAGTAGTCGAAGTTCGACTACCGTCTCTCAAGTTTGACACTTCCAGAAGGTTCTGCTACTTGCAGTTTGATACCTCCAGTGCTGCCCACCATGCGACAGAGCTTCATGGAATGCGATTCGAAGATGGTACGAGGCTCAGTGTTAAGATATCCGATCCCGGACAAAAAACAGCCCGCACTGGTCCCAGATACGAAGGGCGAGAAATTTATGTTTCAAACGTTGCCTGGGACGCCAGTGAAAAAGATCTGAAAGAACTCTTCTCCAAATTCGGTGAAATTGAAAGGGTCTTGATTGAGCGAAAGGTTAACGGTAGTAGTAAAGGGTTTGGCTTTGTTACTTTCTCTACCAAGGATGCCGCCAATGACGCCGTCGCAGTGAACGACCAAGTGTTCAGGTCACGTCCTCTCCGTGTGGAAATTGCTACCACCGACACTCGGCGTGCAAACCAGGTTGTCATCTCGCGAGTTGCATCACACCCGGCGCACTACGGTGTCCGTGGTCTTGAAGTCCCGGTTGGTGATCATGCGCAGCGCACACTTGCTTTGATGAACGTTCCCGATACCGTCAATCAAGCCCGCATCCGTACTCTTGTCGAACCATATGGGCGTCTAGTCGCGATCAATTTGCGCCCAGAACATCAAGGCGCTATTGTGGAATATGTCGATATTCAGGATGCCGGGAAAGCTGCGTTGGCGCTCGAAGGGAAGGAGATCGCTGCTGGACGCCCACTCCATATCGGCACAGTTCGAGAGATGATGAATTTACAACCGGAAGTCAAAAGAGACCGGGGCCAACCCGTCAAGCACGAAAACAAAACGAAGAAGACGAACCTACAACCCACTGCGCCGATTAGACGGCCGCAGCAGCCTGGCGCTCGGAGGGGTGGTCTTGGGATGAAACGACAGACCGCACCTCTTGATCAGAAACAATCTGCCCCTAATCCGGGCAATGACAAAATGGACACGACACCCGACGGCGAGAGCAAACCGCAAAAGAGCAACGATGATTTCCGCGCTATGCTCGAACAAAAGCGTCCGGAATGAAGTGCAACTGCAATGACTGACAATTCCTGGCGCAATTCTTTTCACGGCAGGTATTCGGCTGGCGTTTTTCTGTTTTCTGGTGGTCATCTTGATGCTTCCTTTAGATCCGCATGTATTCATTCGGGTCGGTCTTTTGCGTCATGATCTCTTTTATGGCACATGCCGTCGTGTACATTATGACTGTATCTTGCTCTTAGTTCTAATGATGATGTCTGTTCCGAAGGGCTGTCTCCGAGACATTGCCCCCGATGACCTGAAAGTTCAGTCCTGGTGATCTATATCGTAAAGTATTGGTATTTTAACTTCATATAATTTATTGCTCATGTGTTGTTTACTGTACTGTTATACCTATGCAGCATGGAGGTGTGTGATTGGATTAGATGTCACGATAGTGCAGAGCGCATTGACGTCAATCG